GGGTCTTTGTAATGGTACTAGATTTATTATCAAAAGATTGCAACCTAACATAATCAAAGCTGAAATATTAACAGGTTCATGCACAGGTGGGGTACCTCTGGGTGGCCTGCAGGGATCGGGCCGAAACCCGCAGTTCAATGCCACCTGCATGTGCCTGCTGCAGGCTTGCGCCCAATCAGTCCCGATCAGGAGAGGCTCGTGCTGCCGCAGCAGCGCTTGCCAGCCATGAGCCCTGCATCTGGCACCCTCCCAAGGGGAGTGGCTTGTGGGATCAGGCTGAAACTGGCTCTCTGACATCCCCCAAGGGGTCTCGGATTACGAGAGGGCGCAGGCCAGGCTGAGGGACCACACTGGTACACGATCGGGTTGGGGAGGGACCGGGGGAGGGCTCCAGGGTGTGTCTGGCCCATTTCACTCAGTGCCCAGCAGCAAGCTATCCTACTGGTCTGTGCACCTTCCCCCTGATGGTCACTGCACATCACAGTGACTGGTTGAACAGTTGACTTCCCCCTGGTGGTCAGTGCATATCATAGCGATCAGTTGAGCAACCTTAGCATATCATTAGCATACTACAGGCCTGTTGCACGAAGAGATTCGTGCAATAGGCCTTCCCTTCCCTTGGCTGCTGGCACCGGTTTGCCTCTGGCACCCGGACCCAGGCCTTCGCTCTGGCCGGGCTCCAGCCGGAGCCCGACCCGGAGCTGTCAGGGTTCGCTGCTCTGGCCCCCGGGCTGTCAGGCTATGCTCCGCCCCTTGGAGCATACATATGCAAATTAACCACCATCTTTGTTGGGTTAATTTGCATACTCTCCTGATTGGCTAGTTTGCGTAGCGAAGGTATGGTCGATTTACATGTTTGTCTTTTATTAGGTGAGATTACACTTTGGTTGTTTGGTGGTTCTGCTGTTTGGTCTATTTGCATATTACCCTTTTATGATATAGGATATATTTTTATTGATTTCAGAGAGGAAGGGAGAGGGAGAGAGAGATGGAAACTGACCATGTCCGAAAACATCTCCTTGATGAATTCGTGCACTGGGCCTCTAGTTCAAAAATAAAATAAAATTAATTAGTAGTTTCAAGTAACTCAGATATAAAATTATATAAAAGGTGAATTTAATTTTTAGAACTTGAATTTAGCCACTTAAATATCTGTCTCTCATAGAAGATTGCAGAGAAATGGCTTATGAATTGCAATTTATATAGCTTTATGAGACATTCAAAAATTCAAAAGGCATATCAGAATGCAATGGAAGGAAGATAAATCAAATACAATTTCATAAGAAAAAAATTATACTGTTTCATTTATATGGTTGTTATGATCTGAATGATTGTGTCCTCCCCCAAATTCATATGTTGTAACTTATCCCCACAATGGGATGGTATGTGGAGGTTGGGCTTTTGGGGGTGAGCAGGAAGCTTTCAAAATGGGATTAGTACTCTAATAACAGTGGCTGGTGTTGCTAAATGGTTAGAGTGTCAGCCTGAGCACCAAAGGGTTGAGGGTTTGATTCCTGGTCAAGGGAACATACCTGGGTTGCAGGAACATCAATGTGTCTCTCTCATATTGATGTTTCTCTCTCTGCCCCCCTCCCTTCCACTCTCTCTAAAAAAAATCAATGAAAAAAATATCCTTGGATGAGAATTTACAAAAAAAAAGAGGAGGGGGTTCTCAGGGAGATCACTTGCTCCTTCTGCTATGTGAGGTTACAGTGAGAACAGATGTTCATAGGAAACAGGCAACTTGATCTTGGACTACCCAGCTTCCAGAATTGTAATAAATAATTTCCTGTTGTTAATAAGCCATCCAATTTATGTAATTTGTTATAGCAGCCCAAACAGACTAAGATAATCATGTTATAGTGTGAAAGCAACTCATAATAGATAGGTAGGATTATTCTTTTTTTTTTTTTAAAATATATTTTATTGATTTTTTACAGAGAGAAGGGAGAGAGACAGAGTTAGAAACATCGATGAGAGAGAAACATCGATCAGCTGCCTCCTGCACATCCCCCACCGGGGAAGTGCCCGCAACCCAGGTACATGCCCTTGACCGGAATCGAACCTGGGACCCTTGAGTCCGCAGGCCGACGCTCTATCCACTGAGCCAAACCAGTTTTGGCGGTAGGATTATTCTTTAAAATCCAATTTGATTCATCTTTTAAATGCAAGTGTGATTCCATTTGAAAATATTCTATTTTAACAACTTCCTTTCTATAAATTATTTAAAGACAAAGTCAAGCATTGCCACCTACAGGGAACCTTTAGAAAAACAACAGTCATGTTTCTATGACCCTCATTTCTCAAATGAAACATCTGTAATTTGAATTTAATATTGTATTTGGCATCATATATCAAGGAAATTTTCAAGGAAAAGGGTAAGAAAAATTTGAAAGATATACTGTGTAAAAAATCCCATTACCAATCATTCTGGATTATTAATACTTCCTGAAATAATTAACAACAACCTAAGCACTCCCAAATTCACCAAACATATGATCTGTGGACCCTTCTTTGGTTATGAACTATAGCAGGTTAAGACGCAAAGCTATGCAGCCTCGAAGATCCTTAGTTGTAACTGGTATAGAAAGGAGACGCAAATCATTGGTGACTATACCTGTTAATGATTTTCTTTTTCCAGCTATTGAATTCCCCTTTCCACTTTAGTATCACCTTTACTTTCTTGGCCAGATTCTATAAATTTTGAGCTATTTAGTCAGTTTCTAAAGCTCAGTCCTGTTTATTTTAAAATCTATTTCATAGGAGACTCCACATCAGATTCAAAGCTCTTTTCCTCTCTATGCAGCATAGGTCCACTCTAATCACGAATAGTTTGTTTTTGTCTTTCTCCTCCCTTGGCTCTCTTCTTTTTGGGAAGCAGATGCTAGGTTTCCTTATAGCAGTAGCCCTCAATGTAGCCTATACACTAAAACCATCTGGAGCCCTTTAACAAAAATACCATGCCTCTGATATAATTGGACTCAGATGGGGCCTGGACATGGCTTTTAATTTTTGAGGTGATCCCATGTGTAGATTAGTTTGAGAAGCTGTCTTATTATGGAGGCTCCCTAATTGGCTATAACCGTATTCTGGTAAGTGCTCTAGGAATTTCATGGTGCACAGTGCAACCCCCACTAGTGTGAAGGGCCAGAGGCTCACTCCTGAGAAGCTCCATCCAGCCCTGGCTGTCCTTTGAGATTTGAGAGTTGGCTATATTCAGCCAACTGGCATCACATCTCTCACCTGTTGCACCTGCCTTTTAACCTCCTCTAATTGCTGCACAAGTTCTCCAGCCCCCAATTCACGTATCACTCTCAGGCTGGCAGGATCCACCTCTGCTAACTCTCTGCCTGACAGTCCCATTACCTCTCCAATTCCATTCCTGGGCTCTGGATAAAACAACAAATGTGCAGACCTGCTGGGTAGACACATTCAACCAGGTGGAAAAAATGCTGGTCTGCCCTTCTTGGAGGCATCCCAAATCTTGAATTATTCTCTCAGGCCTTCCTCCCATGGTTTCTAAGTGCAGATGCACCATTTCCTCCCTCAGGACAGAGCCCAAAGGACTAAATCCCATTCCTCTACAATGCTCTTCTCCAAAAGAACCCCAGGCTCCCTGGCCATGTGGGGGATGATGGTTAGTGAGGGCATGTTATATGAACTGGCACCTCTCAGTAAGCCCTGCAGTGCTCACTGGTCCTAACCACCGGTAGTTCTCTGATCTTAGAACATGGGGACCTGGTAACTTTTAACTTCCACTTTGGCCTTATTCCAGCATAGGGAAAAACACCACTTGACTTTCTGTTACAAATTACTCTAATAATACAGTTAGACACTTAGGTCAGTTCCCCAGAAACAGTGATGAACGTATGCAAACGACTTAAGATGTTAAGTCTTGCCAAAACCGGTTTGGCTCAGTGGATAGAGCGTCGGCCTGCGGACTGAGGGGTCCCAGGTTCGATTCCGGTCAAGGGCATGTACCTGGGTTGCGGGCATATCCCCAGTAGGAGATGTGCAGGAGGCAGCTGATCGATGTTTCTCTCTCATCGATGTTTCTAACTCTCTATCTCTCTCCCTTCCTCTCTGTAAAAAATCAATAAAATATATTTAAAAAAAAAAAAAAAAAAAAAAAAAAAAAAAAAAAGATGTTAAGTCAAGTAAAGGACTGAGAATAGGATGGGAAGGGGAGGAGGAACACACAAGTGTGATTCTGGCCAAGTTGAATAGTGGTCAACTTCAGCCTGACTCCTCCAGGAAGTTCTGAAGTGTAAGGTACACCTGTCCTCCCGCGGCGGCCACCACCGCCGCGGTGGGAGGTGGGACCCAGAAACCTGCCCGAGCCTCCCGTCAAGTCCTCCAGAGTCAAGTCCCAGCCCACCCACGTGTGCCTCGCTGGCACAGAGCCCTGCCCACCCCGTGCACACAGCCTCCTGCTGATCATGCGTTTTGGTGTGACAACCACAGGCTTTTTATATAATAGATGTCGAGGGGCACTTTAGGCCAAAGACCCACAAGTAGACTGTATATCCTAAGTATAATGAAAAGGAGAGGACGGTGACAAAGGATCTGAGGAATCCGGGTGCCCTATTACAGGTGGTTAATATCAAACTTAGTTTCACAAGTTCCATGTTATGGACAAGCTAGAAAGTGGGCACTGTCCTCAGACTTCACTAATAACTGGTGCTCTCTGCAACATAACTGCTTAATAAAATGCTAAGGGCAGGATGAACAAAGTATTCGAAAAAAACAGTAAGACAAACAAGACTAAAGTAAGCCTGAAGGAAAAACTGTCCTGGTGATATTAATCCTTAATTTCTCTAGAGGGGGCTGCTTTTGTCTTTCTGGGAAGCAGTTATCTGCTTTAGATGATTATTTTCTTCAAAGCAATTTCTGAAGCCTTAAAAAAAAATCACAGGATCTCAAAAAGAATAATTATTTATTTTATCTTTATTATTTTTTAAATCCTCAACTGAGGATATTTTTTCCATTGATTTCAAAGAGAGTGGAAGGGAGGTAGGATGAGGAGAGAAAAACATTGACATGAGAGAGATACATTGATTGGTTGTCTCCTATTGGGGCTGGGGAAGTATGTGTCCTTGACTGGGAATTGAACCCACAACCTTTCAGTCTGCGGACCGACACTCAAACCACTGAACAAATCGGCCAGGGCAAGAACATTTATTTTAACACATAAAATGTGCCACCTAGCACCAATGCCTGTAAGTACCAGAATTCTATAGTTTATTATTACTCTTTAGAACTGTTGAGATTTAAGTTCTTGACAGATCAGTTTGTGAGCAGATGATTATCATAACATAAAGACTACACAGAATCAAAACCATTTGCTAAATGTATATAGGATTACATTTGCAGTTATTTAAAAATGTCTCTGTTTTGTAAACAAGTAAACATCAGTGATTTTTAGCCACTTTTTCCTGGAAGATATATATGAGAAAAGTGAGCGAGCCTGAAAATGGGCTTTTTATTTTCACTCCAACCCCCCTCATTCTAATCTCATGATTTCTTAACTTTCATTCTTACTAACTCACTACAGTATAATTTACTAACTCATGTAGACATGTATGGTGGAGGAAAAGAATAAAACTTTGGCCAATGTAACTATACAAAATATGTTGGGACTTTTTTTTAACGTAAAAGAACATTTACTAGTAAGTAGTAAAGCTATCTTAAAAGCAACCAAGTGGAAGATACATGATAAAAACCACTGCATAATTATGTTAAAATGAAAACCTTTTAAATTTACCTATCTTGAAGACAAACTAAAACTTACTGATTTGAATTTAAACTTTATTATATAGCAATATATATTTCTCTTTAGAAACTGGATCAATCTATCTAATTCCAGAAAATATGCTAAGTCAACCATGAAGCTTCACTGTTTATTTTTGGCAGACTTTAGGCTAACCTTAATACCTATTTTTATTTGAGGAGTGACTAATACACAATGTTTCTTTTAAGCAGAACTTGATACTGAGCTAAAAGTAAACTAAGTTGGATTTCAGGCCCATTAGCTGGCAGACCGGCAGTCATTTTCTGTTTTGCAGGCGGCCCATGATGGTTGATGTCTATTATCAGATCTCTAAAGACATGCTGGAAAAATCTGTGAACACAATCTTCCCATGCTCCATTCACATCTTTAGCTTACCCAGGTTGCTGGAGGCTTGGGTAAGATGACTAAAGATTTCACGATGGAAATTTCTATAAGAAAAAACAAAACAGAAACTTTACAGAATGAATTATTACAAATGAAGTGCTTACTGGGTACTTAATACTAGGTAATATGCCTAGTAATGGCTAAATGCTATTCAAATGAACAACTATGGATAATGTTTAGAGATGATTCTTTGCTGATACCTAGAGCACAAGTAACCAAAGAAAAAAGATATATTCAACATCATCAAAATTAAAAACCTTTGTGCTTAAGGACATACTATCAAAAAATGAAAAGACAACTTAAAGAATGGGAGGAAGTATCTGGAAGTTATATATCCATTAAGAGTCTAATATTTAGAATATATAAAAAACTTTTACAACTATAATTTCTTCATACTTACTAAAATGGCTATAATAAAAAAGATGGACAACAAGTATTGGTGAGGATGTGGAGAACTGGGACCCTCACACATTGCTGGTAGAAACATAAACCATTTTAATAGCTTTGGAATAGTTTGGCAATTCCAAAAAGTTAAACAGAATTCCCAAAAGACCTGACAATTCTATTTGAGGAACATACCCAAGAGATTTGAAAACATATGTAATACAGAAATGTTTACATGCACATTCATAGCAACATTATTCATTGGAGCCAAAAAGTGAAAGATACTAAAAGGCCTTTTAACTGGTGAACAGATGGATGAGGTATTGTATGTCCATACAAAGAAATATTATTCAACTATAAAAAGGGCGCTAAGTGCTGATGTGTGCTACAACATAGCTGAACCTTAAAAACACTGTCCTGAGTGAAAGAAGTCAGACCCAGGAAGCCACATAGGGTGTGATTCCATTTACTAGTGTCCCCTGCACATTCCTATGAAACCTTGGAATGAGCTGAAATGGCATAAAATGAAAAGTATCCTTGCTTTTGCATTATGCCACTTCATTTTTGTTTGTTTTTTAAAATATATTTTATTGAGTTTTTACAGAGAGGAAAGGAGAGAGATAGAGAGTTAGAAACATTGATCAGCTGCCTTCTGCACACTCCCCCTCACTGGGGATGTGCCCGCAACTAAGGTACATGCCCTTGACCAGAATCGAACCTGGGACCTTTCAGTCGCAGGCCGACGCTCTATCCACTGAGCCAAACTGGTTTCGGCTATGCCACTTCATTTTTACAAAAGACTATGTTAGTACCCATTTTCACTAAGCAAAAGATATCCAAAGAGAAGCCATTACCATATGAATGTACGTCTTTTGTAGAAGCCACTATGCTTTTATAGAACCATTACCATATGAATGTAGGTCTTTTGTAAAAACAAAATGGCATAAAGTGAACTTTCCAAAAGCAAGAGATACCTATATATGAATTGGTCAGAATATGCAAATCCACAGAGAAAGAGAGTAGATTGGTAACCACAAATTAGTTGCTGGGGGTGGCAGAAACAGGAAGTGATCACTAACGAATACGGGGTTTCTTTTTGGGGTAATGAAAATGTTTAAAATTAGAAAGTGGTGTCCGGCTTGCATGGCTCAGTGGTTGAGCGTGGACCTGTGAAATCAGGAGGTCATGGGTTCGATTCCAAGTTAGGGCATGTGCCCTGGCTGTGTGGGCTTGGTCCCCAGTAGGGAGCATGTAGGAGGCAGCTGATCAATGATTCTCTCTCATCATTGATGTTTCTCTCTCTCCCTCTCCCTTCCTCTCTGAAATCAATAAAAATATATTTAAAAAAATTAGAGCCGAAACCGGTTTGGCTCAGTGGATAGAGCGTCGGCCTGCGGACTCAAGGGTCCCAGGTTCGATTCCGGTCGGGGGCATGTACCTGGGTTGCGGGCATATCTCCAGTAGGAGATGTGCAGGAGGCGGCTGATCGATGTTTCTCTCTCATCGATGTTTCTAACTCTCTATCTCTCTCCCTTCCTCTCTGTAAAAAATCAATAAAATATATTAAAAAAAAAAATTAGAAAGTGGTGATGGTTGTGCAACTCAGTGAACATACTAAAAACCACTTTATTTGACTCAGAACCTAGGCACAGAACCTACACAGAACGTTCTCTAGAGACAGAAGAACTTCGCTGGAGAGAACATGGCAAAAGATCCTGGACAGAAACTGGCCTCAGAACCTAGAGACAGCACCTAGCGAGAGAACATGGCAAAAGATCCTGGACTGAACCTGACTACAGAAATTGGCAAGAGAACCTGACTAGAACCTGGTGACTGAACCTGGCTGGAGAGCCTAACAAGAGAACATGGACACAGAACCTGGCTGGAGATCCTAAGCAGAACTTCGCTGGAGATCCAGACCAGAACTTGGCTAGAGATCCTGGCTAGAGATCCTGGCTAGGCTGCTGATCAACTGAACGCTGTTTCCGTGTCATTCCTTCTTCGCTGACTCCGTCCACACCTTTGGGGACCCCTGGACCTGCTGGGGCAGGACCCCGGCACTAGACAGAACCTGGCAGAAGAACCTGGCTACAGAACCTGGCCACTGAACCTGGCTGGAGAACCTAGCAAGAGAACATGGACACAGAACCTGGCTGGAGATCCTAAGCAGAACCTCGCTGGAGATCCAGACCAGAACTTGGCTGGAGATCCTGGCTAGAGATCCTGGCTAGGCTGCTGATCAACTGAATGCTGTCTCCGTGTCATTCCTTCTTCGCCGACTCCGTCCACACCTTTGGGGACCCCTGGACCTGCTGGGGTTGGACCCCGGCAGTAAACATCATTACATAAAAGGGTACAGTCTTTTTTTTTTTTTAGTTTTATTCATTTCAAACGGGCCGGATCTGGGCCGTAGTTTGCCCACGGCTAGTCTAACACAACAGAAGACACCACCTGAGAAGCTTTTTCCCATTATGGACTACAAATACAAAATATACTTGATTTCCCCTTGACTTAAGAGCTGAGATATCACCTCCTTTGCCCAAATAGATCATTTTCTTAATCTCTAAAACTTGTGGTAGAAAGTTAAGAGATTTTCCTTTAAGGTCTACTAGACTCTAGGGAATTAAGCTAGGATACTATCAATAACCTATTTATATTTTTAACCTTCTTACTGTACCCTATAAAACTAAAGATAGAGCACACATTCTGCCTACTCTTCTCATGCAAGGAAAGTGTGAGAATAAATGGAAAAGTACTATAAGAATATTCACAGGAAGACACAAATACATATATTTATGCTTGTATAATAAAGAGAACTGTGTTTTCACAGATAACTAAGATTGTCACTAAAATCTTTCAAAGTGTCTTTTTGTTTTGTTTTTTTAATTAATCCTCACCTGAGGATATTTTTCCTTTGATTTTTAGGAAAAGTGGAAGAGAGAAGGAAAGACATAGAGAAACAATGATGTGAGAGAAACGCACCAATTGGTTGCCTCCTGCACAAGCCCTGACCAGGGCCTGGGCTAGGGAGGAGCCTGCAACCAAGGTACATGCCCTTGACCGCAATCAAACCTAGGGCCCTGTGGTCCGCAGGCTGACGCTCTATCCACTGAGCCAAACCAGCTAGGGCTCAAAGTGTTTTAATGAGGTAATCATTATGTTCCTAAAAAGCTAATTATAAATTAAATTGCTATAAATAGAATCATATTTAAAAAGCATCAGGTAACTGTTGTTTTCAATGGGATTCAATCATGAATCCTTTAGTAAAACAGAATTATCTTTTACAGTAAATCCCCACTCCTTCTGACTTTTGTCTATAGTACCAAGATTTCCATAGTAATTCCAAATATTTAAAAAACATACAGGGTGGGGCAAAATTAGGTTTACAGTTGTTCCTATGGAAAATTATACAATAATAAATAATAATACAAGAATAAACTCTGTGTTTCATGTACTCCCAGCTGTAAACCTACTTTTGGCTCCAGCTTGTACATCTGATAAGAGACTTGTATGTAGAATACTTAAAGAACTTTCACATCTCAATAAATAAAAGACAAACTAACCAATTGAAAAATAGGCTAAGGATCAAAAAAAAAAAACCAAAAAAAAAAAACCACTTTATTTATTTATTTTTTTCTTTTTCTCTCTTTTACTTTTTTATTTTCTTTATTTTTTTTCTTTCTAAAAATCACTTTAAAAGGGTAATTTTTATGGTACATGAATTATATCAATTTTTTAAAAGGAAATAATTCTTTGCCAAAATAAAGCCTTTATATTCTGAAAACAAAATCATTATGCCTCAAAAAAAAAATTCTACTTTTAAAACTACACTACAACTTCAACTAAAACGGACTCTTCTTAAGGCATAAACCATTTTTTTTTTTACCTTTGTATCTCCAGCATCATGCCAGGTAAGTTTGTTGATTTGAATTACTAATCCCACCAATCTTCTTACCTTATAGTCCTAACATCTAATATTGATCTCAAAAATTACAAGTTATTTGCTTTTGACTAGAATTTACATAATCAGAAAACTTCATCATGAACAAATTCAAAGCAAAGATAACAGAAAAAATGTGTTATTAAATTTAACAACCTTAATTAATAAAATTAATCATGTCCCTGCCTTATACCAACCAGTCACACACAAAAGGTGCTGGGATAAAAATGGACACAATTCTTCCTTTCTACAGACTCAAACTCTAGACATTGCAGAGGCAATCTGCATAAAATGTAATTGTTATAAGAAGTAAAGGAAGCAGCAAAAGGGGAAAATACATAAAACAGTGCATTTCTCATTATTGGACAGATCTGTCTTGTTATATTTTACTTAAAATTTTTTTTTCTTTATTAAAGTGTAGATGACATAAGAATTATATATTATATATGTATATATTTAAATTATATTTCTTTATTGATTTCATAGAGAAAGGGAGGAGAGAGAGATAGAAACATCAATGATGAGAGAGAACCATTGACCGGCTGCCTCCTACACACCCCCCAATGGGGATTGAGCCCGCAACCCAGGCATGTGCCCTTGGCCGGAATCGAACCTGGGACCCTTCAGTCCGCAGGCCGACGCTTTATCCAGAGCCAAGCCGGCTAGGGCCACAAGTATTATATTAGTTTCAGGTGTACAACATAGTGATTCAACATATAACTTTCCTGACCAGGAATTAAACCTGAGCTGCAGTGGTGACAGTACCAAATCCTAGCTACTAAACCACCAGGGAAGGGTTGTTATGTTTTACTTTGACTATTAAAAAATTCTGAATGGTTGGATAAAGTTCACAAAGGTCAGAGCTGGCTGGCATTTTAAAATCTCTAATAAAAGATACTAGAAACTCATAAATAGCTACGTTACCTATCTGAGGTAATGCCCGATTTTAAAGCTATATAATTTACAGCTAGGCAGGAAGAAGAAGAAGCCTACCTTATTTTAGAGGAAGAACAGGAGGCCAGGTAAAGTGATCTTAATATTGAGTTAGTGCCTGAGTCCAGTAAATCATCATACTATTTCCCCACATCAAAATCAACATCTATACCACCTATAAGCTGAGAGACAGCGTCCAGCTAAAAAATCTCCTCAGAGGATAAAGAGCCAGGAATGTATTTACCGATTTTTTCTTTCTGAAGTATAAAATATGAATATCTTCACTTCGATATTCTTCATCATGTTTTTCCAAGGGAATTTTTTCAAAGTCAAAGTCTAGTTGAAGAAGCTATAAATTTAAAAGAGATATACTTCAAATTCAATAATATGAACTGTCCTGTGGTGAGAGAAGTCAGAATGGTGGAGTACTGACTGGGAAGGGGCACATGGGAGCCTTTTGAGGCTGTGAAAATGTTCCAAGTCCTTATCCTGGGCAGTGGTTACTTGGGTGTATGCACATGAAAAATTGAGTTGAGCACTTGGGCTGAACCTTAAAAACACTATCCTCAGTGACAGAAGCCAGACCCAGAGAGCCACATAGTGTAATTTCATTTACAAAAGCATTTTACATATTTTAACTCAATTGGAACTGTTTAACAATACAAAACTTTCAATGATAAAGTTTCAAGAGTTTATTAACATTCCTCACATTTAAGAAAAAAACAGCCCAGCCAGGCAGTGGCTCAGTGTTTGAATGTTGACCTATGAACCAGGAGGTCAGGGTTCAATTCCCCATCAGGATGATTCTCTCTCAACATTGATGTTTCTATCTATCTCTCCCTCTCCCTTTCTCTCTGAAATAAAAAAAAAAATCTTAAAAAACCCCACAAAAAAATAAAAACATTTCAACATATATCTGAAGCAGTCATATATTTGTTTTCTCATTTAATCAAAGTAGTCCTTTCAGTGGATAAAACTGCAGGGCTGTATATACAGGGGTGGGCAAAGGTAGGGTTACAACTGTGATTATGCAAAAACAGTTTATTCTTTTTTTATAGATTTTTAAAAAATTGATTTTCAGAGAGAGATGGAGGGAGAGGGAGAGAAACATCGTTCAGCTGCCTCCTATATACCGCCTACCAGGGATAGAGCCGGAAAAAACTAAACAAAATCAAACCCTGAAAACATAAGATTATCTTGGTTAAAGCTTTCACAAAAATGTAGAGGTAAACACAGAAGTAAAAACATACCATGTTTCCATGATGTATTCATATATATATATATATATATATGTATATATGGTAAATATGTTCCCCAAAAGCCAGCATGTTTAATAAGGGAAACATTACAAACTTTCTCAGAAAAGACAAGGGCATCACTATTTTTTTTTTTTTAATATATTTTTTTATTGATTAAGATATTACATATGTGTCCTTGTCCCCACGTTACCCTCTACCCCCCACCCCCCCCACCCCCGCTCATGAAGGGCATCACTATTATTATTTTACATTGTTCTTTATATATTAGATCAACTAATTAGAAAATAAAAAGAAATAAAGGATCAAAAGATGAAAAAAGGGGAGGGGGCTTAGTAGAATGATGGGCTGTCAAGAATCCTCCTTGGGTTCATACAACCAGAATGTTTTCCTGACTCAAAATTACCATAATATACTTACACACAGTCATACACAGGCTCCCTGAAGGGTAATCACTACAAAGATAGATATAGTAGAGTACCCACCTCAAAATATTTTTTCTCGATTTCTGGATTTTTCCCCATTGTTCGCTGTTCGTAACAACATATAATACAAGTCTCAGATCCACTGAGATCTTTTAGAGTTTTCAACAGCGGCTCCAAAGACTGTTCAAAAAAGAAAGTTTTTGTTTATAAAAATTTTTATATTTTTACTGTGAAAGGGGGGGTAAGGAAGGTGGAGGGGTAATTATCTCTCCCCTACAATTTACCCATCTTTGAATCAATCCAACAAAGTACAAGTAGTTAAGACTCTAACTAATGATTAGTAAACTCTTTTTTTTTTTTAGTAAACTCCTCTTAACCACTGTATTGACTTCAGTTTCCAAAAGAAGGATTCAAGTAATTGCATTTTCAAGATCCCATGGGAAAACAAATGGAACTGACTTCTCTTAAAAATTTAATTATTTAACTTGGGATTTAAATAATCAACAATTTACCACAAAAGCAAGTCTGACCTAACCTGAACGTAAGTTGGCTAAATGTTCATTATTTTTAAAAAATGATGTCTATAATTTCCACACAAATTGATAATTTTTAGAAATCATTCTATGAGTCTAATAAATCTTGCCACAGAACAATGAATTTCTTACAATGCAATTTAATTCTCAGTGTCTTGCTTAACATGTTCACTAGGAACAGCTAAGTAAAAAAAATAATAATAAAGAATCTTTGATTCAAATGGCAAAATCCTTTTAAAACTTTACAGAAGCCTCTAGTAAAATGTGCGTAGCACTTTTCTCAACATGATTCACAGGTCCATATGATAATCAGGCCTATATGATAATCAGTATTCCCTGGTGACCTTAATTTCCCTTTACTGTGTCATTAACTATAGGACAAATATCCTGAATTCTATATCCTAAAATGTGAAGAGATGTGTGCTCTAGAATTTAGGAAATATGGTACATCTTCTAAACAGACTTCTCTCATTGAATATTTACCTCTTCGTAGTATATGCAGTCGGCCATCAGTATGTAGTCTGGCGGAGAAGGAAAGTCTTCTATTTCTTCCCCCCTTAAAAATGCCAACCAAATATTTTAACTGTTGCTTTAATAATTAAAAATATTCTTGTTTGAAAAACAAGACCCGGAAGATCCCCTTTCTATTAGCCATGTTTTTAGCAAAACACAATTTAAAGCAAACTACAAATCGTTATTAAAACAAGCCGAAAGGCCATACAAACCATTTCAGTACCTTGGCTTGAACAGAACCAGTGACAAGATGCTTGTTCATATCAATATTCATCTTCAGCAAGTCTTGCAATTCCTCAAGATCGGTGACTACAACATCTGCCCTATAAAATAACGTCGACTGAGACGTAGGCACACGGATGCGAAGCCAGTCATCAGTTTCCCAAATCAAGCGGCGCCCCTCCCGCCAGCGCTTACCCGAGGGTCGCGGCCATGAGCCCCACGGCCCCGGTGCCGGCGCCCAGCTCCAGCACCGACCGCCGGCGCAGCGCGTGGGCCCCGTCGCCGGCGAACCCGGGCGTCTCCAGGTATTTAGAAAGAACAATAGCAGCGTCCCACACCACGCAGCCCACGCCGCCGGAGCCATACTGCTGCAGTCGTAACGCCGTGCCATCTCTCTTCTCCAAAACTCGCACAAAGTTTCCCAACGGATCCTCCGCTGAGGACTCCAGAGCAGCCTCCATTGCTGCCCGGCAACAGAACGCGGCGCACGAACTGACGTCACGCCCACGCGCATCCCCCTGAGGCCCCGCCTCCCGAGGGGCTCCGCGCCTCCTAGTGGTGGAGTTGGAGCCTCGATTTACCAGCAAAGGCACAAAGCCCGGAAGACAGCGTTACCTGGGCGTGGCCCAGTGCTGGGCCGTCAGCTTGCCCTGCATCCTGGACGGCCTCACTCCCCTAAATTACAAGTCTGGTTTAATGAACAGGCAGCTTAAATCACTTTTCCAGACAGAGTAATATAATCTGCTCTTTAAAAAACAAAGTCAACCTCAGAATGTTTTTACCTGATTGGAGATTAACTCACACCATAGTTACTGGCCTTAAATCCATCCCACCAAGGATGGCTATAATCCTGCTTAATAAGAATTGCCAACATGCTCCTAATTTTTCATCTGAATTCATAAAAATTACTAGAAGCTTGCTGATTACGTTTAGCAGTAAAGACAATTACCCTCTAAAATTTACATCACTTAAATGCTTTGGGATTATGTAACTGAAGCTATCCATAACCCTTTGAAAATAATGTGCATATAAATATTTCTACAAAACTGAACAATCTCCCCCCTTGTTCCTTATACTGAAAACACATATTTTAAAAGTCTTTTAAAAATTAAGACTGGGGTGATTTATTAATCTTGTTAAGCACTCTGATACAAAGCATATAAAAGGCCACAGACCAGTAAATAAACAATGTGGCTTTGGCTACCTTACAACTGCTGCTACACCACTATCAGCAAAACACACTTTTTCATCACTTTTAAGGAAGGAGTCCAAATAGCAAATAAAAGTTTTACTCACTTCTCTGATTAAAAAGTTTAATAAAGCTTTAAGTATTTGCTGGTTTAAATATTACCAATCTAAAAAAAATATTTAAAAAATTTTAGTTAACACAAGATTTATAGAGAAAGTTACTAGGTTTTGAAGGCAAGGCAGTTGGTTCCTATGCCATAAGAAACTTTTCCTTTGAATTTATCAATTAGTAAAGTAGCAGATTGTATTATACACCTCAAGTCACTTAAATTTATATAGGTTATTAGCATCTTTAAATATACAATATAAACAAAACTGTACATACATGGCATATTAACTTTGCTTTCCAAAATAATAGGCAATTCATTAGCTAAAGACACCATAGTTTGCAAAAACAAAAGGCACATCTGAAAAAATACATGCCCTTTTCTCCTCTATGATGGGGTTAGGTAGTCTTTTTGTTTACATTTTGGCTAAATAATAGACACAGTGCATTCTATTCTTTTCATTCTATTTTTCATTTTTGTCTTTAGCAGCAAATTCTGGCATTTAAGACATGGCATTAACAAGTTTAAGAACAATGGGTGTTATTCACAATTCTCCAAAATGTAAAAACTAGAAGATGGTCAAACAAGTTAAACAATCAGTAACACCATACACCTCCTATATTTGTGTAAATTTATTGCCTTAAAAAGGCAGCTATTATTCAAATCTGAAAAGTTCCACAAATGCACTATCCCTTTTCAGTGCAATCAGTCACTTTAAACCATATTTTACAGAGATTACAGTGCAAATATAAATTCTTTATACTGGCCTTTTGGCAGCACTGAGGATCCAAGACAAGGCAATGCTACTGATCACCTGAGGATAATGACGAAGGACTTTTGTATTTTTATTTTTCCGATTTTAAAAGCTTATTTGATCAGTAGCATTTTTAAGAGCATTATTTGTAAAAAGTACTAAAATACTATGCCTTTTTTTTAATAAATTAAAAAAAACACCTTTACAAATATCATTCCAGTGTCAATGACTACATATGGCTAAGGTCATTGAGGAGTTTCTGCATTTTCTAGCAAAGGCAGTCTATACAATGGGGGGTGTGAAAGCTCCCGTTTGTAAGTCTTTGGTGGCAGTTTTGGTAGGTGAGGGCTTGAATTCTGCCTTGGTGGAACAGGGGGAGCTTGAGGATGAGCAAGATTATTGTGACTAGAACTGAGCATGTGGCATCGACGTGGTACCCTTGGAGAGGGTGTGCTAGGAGGAGTGTTTGGTGAATTTGGACACGTGCTAACGTCTCTGAACCAGTCTGGATCTCTGTGAAGATGTCCCAGTGGAGGTGGCTGAAGATTAAATGGACAGTTTATAAAGTGTTCTGGAGGCCGAAGGGGAACTGGTGGAGGAGTATCAGGAAGAGGATCTCTCGGCGGTGGTGGAGGTGGACTATGCAGAGGCCCATCAAATGCACCAGTAGGAGCAGGAACTCTGGGTTTTACCTTTGGAGGAGGAGGTTGTCTTGGTGGAATAGCAGGGGGGTCATCATCAGATTTCATATTTCCCTTTAAAAAAAGTAATTAAATTATATTTCTGTTCTCCTGAAAAATCTGTAAGAAAAAGTTATTAAAAGAATTGCCCTGGTTGGTGTGTTCAGTTGTTAGAGCATCAGCCAGCACGCCAAAGGGTCGAGGGTTCGATTCCTTGTCAAGGGCACGTACCTGGGCTGCAGGTTCAATCCTGGCCCTGATCAGGGCAGGTTCGGGAGGCAATCAATCCATGTGTCTCTGTCACATCAATGTTTCTCACTCTCCCTTCCCTCCCTCCCATCTTCCTAAAAAAATCAACGGAAAAAATATCCTCTAGTGAGGATTAACAATAACTGAATGAATGAATGAATGAAAGAAAATTCCTGTGTCAAGTTAAATCCAGGAGTTCAAAATAGGTTAATTTGATTCAGATTCATGACTAAATTACTCCCAGTTTTTCAGGGCCCCAGTTTAATATTTTTATATATGAGATGTTTTAATTGAAATCTTAGAACATAATGCCATAGGTTATCTTGCTTTATATACACATTTCATAAACTTATGCATTTTTATAATAATAGACAAGTGATTGAAAAGTATATATAGTTTTGCAGATATGAAAGAACATGATGTTAAGAGGACTTAATATCCAGCTGCTGCTTTCTGGCCACCTACTTCTACTTTTCCCAGTAAGGCTTAGAGTCATGGTTTGAAAAGTATGATCCAGGGACCAGCAGTAACAGCAACAGTGGGGAACTTGTTAGAAATGCAAATTATTGAGCCCCACCCCAGATCTACAGAATCAGAAACTCTGGCAATCTGGTTTTTAACAAGCCTTCCAAGAGATTCTGATGCACCCTAAAGTTTAAAGAATGCTTTGAATATTGAAGTCATGTCCACCTCTACTAGTACAGGAGCAAAAATGTACTTCTGAGTATTTGTGAATCTGCCCAGTCTCTTTTTTAGAAAAAGTATTATGAGTAATTATTTAAAGTATTTTTCAAATAAAACAACCCAGATGTTTAAAAACCATAAAGGGTACCCAAATTTTAACTGACAGACTCTTTAGAAGAACAAACACTGTTTTAAAGATTTACAACTTTGAATGAGATGAGGCAAACCTAAGTCCTGTTGAGTACCTTGGAATTTGAAGCATCATGATCAAATTTTTTTCGAGGAGGAAGAGGAGGAGGAATCAGTGGCTCTTCACTTAGTTTATGTAAACTACCACACGAACTGAAGAAAGACTCTGTGGGTTAAAAAGATTAGTTTAACCACAATTCACAGTACATTCATTACATAAATTTAATTTCAATTTGTGATAACCTCTGCTATGGCATCAGACTGTATGGTAGCTGACAATTGGTTTATCTAACCTCTCCATTAAACTGTAAGCTTTCTGAGGGCAGTGTGTATTTATTTTTGTATCCCTAGCACTTAGCACAATGGTACTACCTGGCACGTAGTAGGTACTATCTATATACATAAAAGCCTAAGCAACTGTCACGATGGAACAACTGGAACAACCGGTTGACCAGTTGTTATGATGCACACTGACCACCAGGGAGCAGATGCTTAATGCAGGAGATGCCTCCTGGTGGTCAGTGCGCTCCCACAGGGGGAGCACCGCTCAGCCAGAAGCCAGGCTCATGGCTGGCAAGCGCAGCTGTGGTGGCGGAAGCCTCTCTCAACTCCACAGCAGCACTACTGAGCAGTGGCAGTAGGCACAGTGGGCCGGGATGAGCGTGAGCGGCACAGCACCTGGCCCTGGTTCCGGCTCCTCCCTGGCCACCTGCCACTTGGTGCACTGCTATATCCCACTAGCAATCTGGGACCCCTCGGGGGCCTAAACCGGCAGTCGGGGTCCCGGATTGCAAGAGGGTGCAGGCTGGGCTGAGGGACAATCCCTCCAGTGTATGACTTTCGTGCAATGGGCCTCAAGTAGCTAAATAAAAGCATACAATTTCATTAAGATTAAATAGAGATGTCGAATAGGTTACTGAATATCTGAGTCTAAAGGTCAAGAGAGAGATTCTGGGTAGAGAAAAAAATTGGGGAATTATCATCATATAGATGTCGAATAGGTCACTGAATATCTGAGTCTAAAGGTCAAGAGAAAGATTCTGGGTAGATGATATAAGGCTGAATGAGACAATCAAGTGAGAGAGAAGAAAAGAGGGCCAAGGACTGAATCTCAGGGCTTTCCCATGTTAATAGGTTAGGAAAATGAAGAGAAATCAGTGAGAGAGATTAAGGAGCTAAAAGTAGAAAAACCAAGAGAGTGGATGAACAATGTCATCTTCATGTATATTACTGCTTTCCCAAAGAGATGATATTTTTGTATAAACGAAGGCTGAGACTTTGTCTTTCTTCTTCTTTTTTTTTTTAAATATTTTATTGATTTTTTACAGAGAGGAAGGGAGAGAGATAGAGAGTTAGAAACATCGATGAGAGAGAAACATCGATCAGCTGCCTCCTGCACATCTCCTACTGGGGATGTGCCCGCAACCCAGGTACATGCCCTTGACCGGAATCGAACCTGGGACCTTTCAGTCCGCAGGCCGACGCTCTATCCACTGAGCCAAACCGGTTCCGGCAAGAGATTTTGTCTTTCTTATTTGCCACGGAATCCATTGTACTTAGCAGAGTGACTGGTACAAAATGAGTACTCGATTTTCTGTTGAATGAGTAAGACCAAAGGGAGCGAACATTTTTATGATTTGATATGTTTTCAGATTTCTTTCCAGAAGGGTCAAATTAATATACCAACCTATAAGGGTAATGTATGAAAGAACCTTTTAACATAGGCTTGCTCATATTTTGACCTGGATGGTTTATTCATGTCCATTGTTAATGGATTCTTGCTGTGTTTCTCATTGTGTGTGAGCACTTTTCACACTTATTATTTTATTTATTTCAAGGTTTATTTTAGGATATTCACAATTTTAGGAAGTTATTCTCAGTATTTTTAAATTAAATTTCAAACAATTTTCTTTATCATGTGAAAAATATATTTTACTACCATCCAAAATAATGGTGTTAGCCCTAGCTGGTTTGGCTCAGTGGATAGAACATTGGCCTCCAGAATGAAGGGTCCCCAGGTTCCATTCCAGTCAAGGGCATATGCCCGGGTTGTAGGCTCAATCCCCAGTAGAGGGCGTGCAAGAGGCAGCCAGTCAATGATTCTCTCTCATCATTGATGTTTCTATCTCTCCCTCCCTCTCCCTTCCTTTCTGAAATCAATAAAAATTAAAAAATAAAAAAGCAAATATTATAAAATGACATAGTGTTATAGACTGAATTGTATTCCCTCCCAAAATATGTGTTGAACTCTAACCCCAGTGCCTATAAATGTTGATTTTATTTTAAAATACGGTCTTTACATATATAATCAAGTTAGTATGAAAGCAGGCCCTAATCCAGTGTGACTGTGTCTTTTATAAGAAGAAGAGAAGAGACAAAGAGACACATGGAGAAGATGCCATGACAACAGAGACAGAGACCGAAGCAATACATCTGCCAACCAAAGGATGCCAAAGACTGCCAGCAAATGCCAGAAGCTAGAAGAGGCCAGGTAAATTCTCCCCTACAGGTTTCTGAGGGAGCATGGCCCTGCCAACACATTGATTTTTGGTTTTCTAGCCTCTAGAACTGTGCTCTTTTAAGCCACTCAGTTGTGGTATTTTATTACAGCAGCAATAGAAACTAACATACATAATAAAACATTTCTGCCACAGAACAAGGAAATTAATAAAATACAGAAACTTCAAGTAAACCAGGAAACATCTGAATCCTGAAGCATCAATGCATGAAGGTGGACTACAACGTATATGAAGGAGACAAATGGATAAGATGAAACCCATATGTCTATAGTCATTGATATTGAGAAAAAACAGCAAATATGCCCCAAAGAACCAAGGGATCAGGAGTTAAAGGCATTTGGTACAATGGACTGCATGGGCATGAAAACAGAAGACTTGATTAAGTCTTTATAAGGGGCAATTAGAACTCCAATCCCATTCTCCACTTTGTGAGGCCGAGCAACTACCTCATACCACCACTGGGACTTTTATTTTTCTGGAGGATCTAAAATTCAGACATGAGACCCTAGTTTATGATAGGGAACGGCTGTTAATTTCAAGTGTTTTAGCATTATTTGCTTTTTAAAAAATTAAAATAAAGTTTGGAATTAAACATTTAACAGAATAAACTTACTTTTCTCAGAAGACAAGGGGCTCTCTTGCTACTATATAAATCATATACATTTTACTATGATAGAAGCAGAAGTCCTCCAGAATGGAAGATTTATTCCCAAAGATGCTATGTCCTTCCTGAATTATTGTTTTAAATAAATGACCATAGAAAGGTGACATTTACATAATAAATTATGAAATAATTAGGAATAGCAGAATAGTGATTTACTCAAAATACTGCTTTAATAAGATCATGTGAAGAAATAAGTGATCATGGACTAGCCTGAGAACCTAATAAACATTTAGTATATTATGCTTATGGGAAAGTGAATTGGAATGTTTTACTTCCTTGTGTTAATCACTGTTTTCACATTTCACTGTCACTTTCTATGCTAATAGAGTTTGAAAGTGATGGGGAAGAGAAGAGGTAACTGATATGAAATTATTTTTCATTCCATGCCCCGTTATGCTCTACATAAGTTGTATCATTTGATCCTTAACAAGCTTACAGATGCTACGTAATTTGTTCAATGGTCACACAGCTCCTAAAACATAGATAGACTGCAAATTATGAAAACAAACTATAGTAAAGTTTAAATAGTACCCATTGTAAGCAAATATCCAATTTATTATAAGAATTTCACTCAAATATCAAATTTTTAAAATGCTGTTAAAGCCCAAATACTCATATACAAATTTAATCAACTTAATTATTATCTTTATAATCATTTTATTAGAATCAACTAAAATTCTTACTTGAATGTGGCAAGAGAACTGGAGCAAAGATGCTATTGCTGCCTATGAGAATGAGAAAAATTAATTTGAAAAGAAAGATATGTATGATTTTTATTTTTTAATATGTCTGCACAAAGTAACATGCAATAATACACACAGAGTACAGAATTTTATCATCATCTTTTGCCATCTAAGTATTTTAAAGAAATGAACCCAAGACCCTGTACTTGGAATGCAGTTTTTTCTTTATCGGCATGTTTCCTCTCTATCACAGTCTTTTTTTAAATTTCCTTCACAGAGCTTATCTGCCTGTTTTCTTATTCATTGTCTATTGCTCTCTTTAGAGTAGTGGTGCTCAAAAGGTACTATATAAATGTTGAATGAATAAATTAGAAAATAATGTGCATAAACAATGCAGGAATGATGTTTTACTTCCTTGTGTTAGTCACTGTTTTCACATTTCACTGTCACTTTCTATGCTAATAGAGTTTGAAAAGGATTCTATAGTTCTCTAATTAAAATGATGAGAATTACCTTAAACACAAGATTCCTTTTTTTTTTTTTTTTTTTTTTTACCAAATAGTTTACATCAAATACATACCACAGGAACTGTTCAGATCCACATCTAAAAACACACTAAGGTCTGAAGAAGCAGATACTGGTGGAGTAGATGGTGTATTTGGAGAGGTTGGTGCTGACACTGTTGACTCAAGCTCAGTTTCAGCAATCCGACTAAAGCTTATTTTACATGGTTCTCTTTCTAATGGTGTTGGATGACCTCGTAAAGTGCCTGAGGTAGAGCCATGTCGGCCTGTATTAGGCCTTATTCCAGGAGATTTTAAAGAGAAAGTTGATTTCCTGGGCTAGGAAAAGCAAACATAATTATCATTACTAATTTGCATGTATTTTTATTTTTACAAGTTAGTGCTACTTTATTAATTCTTAGCATCCTATATAATAAAGAGGTAATATGCAAATTGACTGTCATGCCCTCACATAAGATGGCTGCCACCCTGTGGGCACAAGATGGACGGCAGGGGAGGTCAGTTGGGGGCAACTGGGCCGGTAGGGGAGGGCAGTTGGGGGCAACCAGGTCGACAGGGGAGGGCAGTTAGGGGTGACCGGGCCAGCAGGGTAGGGTAGTTGGGGGCAACCGGGCTGGCAGGGGAGTGGTTAGGGGGTGATCAGACAGGCAGGCAGGTGAGTGGTTGGGAGCCAGCAGTCCTGGATTGTGAGAGGGATGTCTGACTGCCAGTTTAGGCCCAATCCCTGTATAGTTATAAGGGTACAATAACGTCCCAACATTCAAGTAAAATACTTTGGATATATGACACGTAGACACAGACAACAGTGTGGTGATAGCCAGAGGGAAAGAAGGTTGGGGGGAGGTGAAAGTGGGCAAAGGGGAAAAATGGGGACAGAAAGACACTTTACTTTGGGTAATGGGTTCATGATACAGTACAGAATGTAGATAATGTTTTATTGAGTTGTACGCTTGAAACCTGTAAAGTATTATTAACCAACTAGAGGCCCAGTGCACAAAATTCATGCACGGGTAAGGTCCCTAGGCCTGGTCGGCGATCAGGGCCAACTGTGGGGCCCCTGCTGGCACCTGCTTTGCCAGCCTGGCGCCGCCCACTCGCCGGCCCCACTGCCACTGCTGCCGGTTGCCAACCTCTGTGGGCAACCAGCGGGGTGATCGGGGGCGGGGGCCCATTGGCACCTGCCTTGGCTGGCCTGGGGCCTGTGGGCTGGGGGCAATGCCTGTGTTGAGCATCTGCCCCCTGGTGATCAGTGCACGTCATAGCCCCAGTCATTACGCTGGTCATTCAGCCATTTGGTTGATTTGTGTATTAGGCTTTTATTATATAGGATGTCATCCCAATAAATTCAATTTTTTAAAAAGAATACTTTGGGGTTTGATTGGCTTAATTTTAAGATGGACTTGAATATAAGTAAACCTCTTTTCATACTGCAGAAATAAAATTCTTAAAAATCTGTGTGAATAACTTTTTACTCTCAAAACACTTCAGCCTTCAAGTCATTGATATCAATTTTATAAATATTTACTGTGGATATAATATATGCCACATGTTATGATAAGTGCTTCCGAAAAAAAGAAAAAAAGAGACCTTGCTTTTTTCTTCCTAATAGTAAATGACCAACTTCTACAATGCCACTCTAAAGTCTTTACAGAAACTGCTATCATTGTCCCACCACCTCAACCTGCTCTCTTTAAAAAATTCTCGTAGTGAGCCGAAACCGGTTTGGCTCGGTGGATAGAGCGTCGGCCTGCGGACTGAAAGGTCCCAGGTTCGATTCCGGTCAGGGGCATATACCTGGGTTGCGGGCATGTCCCCAGTGGGGGGTGTGCAGGAGGCAGCTGATCGATGTTTCTCTCTCATCGATGTTTCTAACTCTCTATCTCTCTCCCTTCCTCTCTGTGGAAAATCAATAAAATATATTAAAAAAAAATTCTCATGGTGAAATAAAAACACATGAAATTCAGATTCAGATAACTTGAATTAAAATCTCAACTATGTCAATATCTTAGCTATGCAGCTCTAAAAAAGTTAAATTCCTTTGAGCCTCAGTTTTTATGTTGGTAAAGCTAGAGTAAGATGCATATCGGCTGGCCGAAACCGGTTTGGCTCAGTGGATAGAGCGTCGGCCTGCGGACTGAGGGGTCCCAGGTTCGATTCCGGTCAAGGGCATGTACCTTGGTTGCGGGCACATCCCCAGTGGGGGACGTGCGGGACGCAGCTGATTGATGTTGATGTTTCTCTCTCTCATCGATGTTTCTAACTCTCTGTCTCTCTCCCTTCCTCTCTGTAAAAAAATCAATAAAATATATTAAAAAAAAAAAAAAGATGCATATCGGCTGTAGAAATGAGGTAATATGAAACTACAAGCGTACTGCTTGGCGGAAGTGTTTTTATTTCCTTTCACATCTTGCTTCACTTCTAGCTACTAAGAATTGGTCTTCCACTATTTTGATTGCCACTGTAAACCCAAGGAATAACTAGGAACTGTAGCAGCAAATTTTAACAAAAGAGGTGGGTTCTAGTGACAACCATGGTGCTCTAATGGCAGGAGTCATGGTCGAGCCAGAAGAACCATGATACACCTGCTTACTTCTCAGGTCTTTCCATTTCCTGTTTCATCCAGCTACCTGTCATTTTAGGTTCTCACTTTCTCACAGCTTTCCCCTTACATTAGGATGGATAAAAAGTGAACAGATAAGTAAGTGGTACTAAGATAAATGATAAACTAGATTTTATCAAAAGGTTAACATTTCCCCCCACAATATATGTAATTTTAGAAATAGTATACTACTGTAAAACAAAACATTAAAACTAGCTCTTCAAGCCCTGGCTGGGCGGCTCAGTTAGTTGGAACATTGTCCCATACCCCAAAAGGTTGTATGCTCCATCCCCAGTTGGGGTATGTATGAGGGCAACCAATCAATGTTTCTTCCTTCCTTCCTTCCTCCCTCCCTCCCTTCCTTCCTTCCTTCTTCCCTCCCTCCCTCCCTTCTCTCTCCCTCTTTCTCTCTTCCCCCTCTCCCTTCCTTTCTCTCCCCTTCTCCCTCCTTTTCTCTCCCCCTTTCCCCTTCTGTCACTCTAAAATCAATTAAAAAACAACAACATATCCTCAGGTAAGGATTAAAAGAGACCTAGCTATTCAAGTAAATTACAATTTTAATGGAAATAGGTTGTTAAACATTGAAGATAATATTGTATTAAAAACAATTTTTTTCAAAATTGTAATGAACTTACAAATCGAGGTGGCTGTTTGCAGTTTCGGGGTTCAATTTCTAGTGATTTGTTGAACAAATAATCTGTAAACTCTTTTTCAGAAGCACTTCCCATGGGGTTAAGGTTTTCAAAGAACCGCTGGAATTAAATATCCATAAGTATATGTTTTAGATCTTGTTAAGACATTTATTTTACCAACAAATTAAGAGATCATAATGTCTGAAAATCCACAAAGATTTCTGATTCCAATCTTTCTGCTTTCGAATAAAATTGTATAGAAGTTATATATTCTAGTCTTAAAGTTCTTTTAAGAAGATGAACAGATTTTCACTTATTACCACATAATGGCTTTATCCCTCAGTTAATATGATCCCTACTCATTATAACAATAAAAGTATCATCACCAGTAAATTATCAAAATTGTTTACAACAGAATTATAGTTTTAATCAACAATGAAACTTTGAAAATCAGAAAAAAGGAGAGCTAAATTGGACAAAAGTTTATTCAAAAGCAATTTAGAGAACAATAATAAACAAACTTATCGAGTAAAATAACCTTTTTCTTTATGAGATAATATTTTATAAGCTTAAGTTTCAGTTTTAGGTAGAAAATTTAAATGATTTAGTAAAGTGAAAAAAGACAAATAAACAGTAATCTCATTAACCAAAGATTTCACTGTTAATGTTTCACTATTAAAATATCCTTGTTTTAACTGTGTGTGAATGTTTATGGATACCTAGATCACATTTGTTATGAAAAATTGGGATCACATCACAGTTATTTTTAAACTTTTAAAATTTTATATTCAATTATTTTTCCCCTGTGGTTTACTACTTTTATAAAATACAAATATTAACTCTATATATAACTCTATATTTATAAAATCTGTTCATCTATAGTATGTCATCAGATGGATGTTCCAAAAAATATTTCACCAATCTCCATATAGGTAGTTATCTATATAGGTGCTTTCTAATTCTTTCTATTACAATAATAATTATTGTTATTATTAACTCCTTGTGCATAAATTTTTCTGTACATTTCTGATTTCCTTAGAATCATTTCTTTGAAATAAATTACTGGATTTAGCTTTATTTGATTTCAAAGTGGTTTAGTTAGAATTGTATATAAAAACAAGTACTGGGTTTTAGCTTTAGCAGTACACAAAATTAACTATAGAATTTCTAGTATGAAATTCTTCTATTTTTCAGGCATCCTGTCAATTTCAAGAAAATTATATTGCATTGAAACAATTTAGGATAACTATGTTAAATCATATGAACCAATAGCAATTTAACGACTTTTATAAAGTTACTAGAGGCCCAATGCTCCCCCTCCCTTCCCCCTCACCATGGCTTTGTCCAGAAGGATGTCTGGTCTAATTACCATATTACGCTTTTATTATTACAGACTAGAGGCCTGGTGCACAAAAATTTGTGCACTCGGGGGGAGAGGGGGGGTCCCTCAGCCCAGCCTGTGCCCTCTCGCAGTCTGGGACCCCTCGGGAGATAACGCCCTGCTGGCTTAGGCCTGCTCCTGGGTGGCAGAGGGCAGGCCCAATTCCTAGGTGCAGCCCCTGGTCGGGCTCAGAGCAGGGCCGATTGGGGAGTTGGGGCGCTGCCCCCTGTCATGCACAGAGCAGGGCAGATTGGGAGGTTGCGATGTCACCCTCAGTCACGCTCAGGGTAGGGCCGATTGGGGGATTGGGGCACCGCCCCATCACACTCAAGGCAGGGTCGATGGGGAGGTTGTGGCGCCACCCCCTGTCACGCACAGAGCAGGGCCCATCAGGGGGGTTGAGGCTCCATACCTTGTCATGCACAGAGCAGGGCCAATCAGGGGGTTGGGGCGCTGCCCCCTGTCATGCACAGAGCAGGGCCCATCAGAGGGGTTGGGGCTCTGTACCCTGTCACGCACAGAGCAGGGTCAATCTGGGGGGTTGGGGAGCTCCCCCCTGTCATGCACAGAGCAGGGCCGATCAGGGGGTTGAGGAGCTCCCCCGTCACTCACAGAGTAGGGCCGAAAGGGGAGTTGGGGCACCGCCCCCTGTCACACTCAGGGCAGGGCGGATCAGGGGGTTGGGGCGCCGCCCTCTATCACTCACAGAGCAGGGCCGATCAGGGGGTTGGGGCACCGCCACTCTCACACTCAGGGCAGGGCCAATGGGGAGGTTATGGCTCTACCCCATCACGCACAGAGCAGGGCCCGTGGGGGGTGGGGGGGTTGGGGCACCGTACCCTGTTACACACAGAGCAGGGCCGATCAGGGGGTTGAGGCGCCGCACCCTGTCACACACAGAGCCGCAGGGTGATCAGGGGGTTGGGGAGCTCCCCCCTATCAGGCACAGAGCAGGGCTGATCAGGGGGTTGGGGCGCCTTCCCCTGTCACGAACAGAGCAGGGCGGATAGGGAGGTTGTGGCCCCGCCCCCTGTCACACACACAGCCGTAGGGCGATCAGGGAGTTTGGGTGCTGCCCCCTGTCACGCTGATCCCAGTGCCGGGAGGCCTCTCGGCTCCGCTGATCCCGGTGCCAAGAGGCCTCGCGGCTCCGCTGATCCTGGTGCTGGGAGGCATATTACCCTTTTACTATATAGGATAGAGGCCTCGTGCATGGGTGGGGCTGGCTGGTTTGCCCTGAAGGGTGTCCTGGATCAGGGTGGGGGTCCCCACTGGGATGCCTGGCCAGCCTGGGTGAGGGGATGATGGCTGTTTGCAGCTGGTCACACACCCTTCAGGGTGGGGGTCCCCACTGGGGTGCCTGGCCAGTCTGGGTGAGGGGTTGAGGGCTGTTTTCAGGCCGACTGAAGCTCCCAACTGCTCCTTTTTTTCTTTCTTTCTTTTTTTTATTCTGGGCCAGCTTTAGCTCTGGCTCCAGCTCTGAGGCCTCTGCTGCTGAAAGAAGGTATCTGGTTTGTTTGGGTTCTATAATCGAAACAATGTATAACTCCAGCTCTGAGATCCCGGGCTCGCTGAAAGCAGGTTTCTGGGGTTTTGTTTAGCTTCTATATTTGTTACAATGTTTCTTAAATTGCAAGCTCAGAGGCCGGCAAGGCAGGCGGGGAACGTTGGAGTCCTCCGTCACTGAAGCAAGCAAGCCTCATGTTAGTGTCAAGCTGCCTGGCTACCGGCCGCCATCTTGGCTGGCAGTTAATTTGCATATCTCGCTGATTAGCCAATGGGAAGGGTAGCGGTCGTATGCTAATTACCATGTTTCTCTTTCATTAGATAGGATAGCAGCAGTGTTCTTGTTTTTCTCACTGTTTACTTTTTAATATAATTTAGCTTGGTTAATTATGGTTTGAAAAGTAAATAGCTACTTGATCTACATTTGAAACTTACTTTGGCTCAATCATAAAGAAAGCATTCTCTGCACACCACACAACCTCATCTCCAAAAGAATGCTTTAACAGATGGTAGGAAGTGTATACAGGATCATATATGAATGCTAAAAGTACTATTTCAAGTATAACCAAACTATAATTATTTCTGTGGGGGAAATATATTGTCAACTCTAATCTGGGTTTCAAGAACATATTTCCTTAGCCCTGAGAAGCTCCACATCAAAGATGGTTGGCCCAATGGTGAGAGAATGGGATGAAATAGTAGCTTATCACCATTTTCTTTAGAGTAGGTATCTGTTTACATTTTCATAATGGTGTATTTTAGACTTTAGGTCATTCTTTCTTAGGATTTTAGAGTACTTTGTTTTGAACTGGGAACAAAGAACAGTTACCATCTTATAATTTAGGAGAGAAGAATGGTGGCCATTTTCATTCAATATGCCCAATCTGCAGACTACATCTGAAAGTTTAGCATAATTTTTAATGTGAGGTGAACCTATTTGGATGTTATTTTATGTTCTGATTTTCAAATAAGTATAAAACAATAAAATTCATTTCATAAATATAATATCATAATTTACTCTAATTTAGAAGGTATTCCACGTCTTACAGTACCACAGAATCAATATTAGGAATTACTGCTGAAAATAAAACATCATTTGATACAGCGGTTCTCAACCTGTGGGTCGCGATCCCTTTGGCGGTCAAACGACCCTTCCTTAGGGGTCGCCTAAGACCATCCTGCATATCAGATATTTACATTACGATTCATAACAGTAGCAACATTAGTTATGAAGTAGCAACGAAAATAATTTTATGGTTGGGTCACAACATGAGGAACTGTATAAAGGGCCAGAAGGTTGAGAACCACTGATTTGATAGAATGTTTAAAAAAATAGTTTTTTGCTATGCGTATATACATAGTATTCTACGAGCACCTTTCTATTTAAACCCAGTGTTCTTAGGAAGGTATTAATTAAAGTTTTATTGGTATGTAAAATACCTAAAATAGATACCAATCAGTGATAGTACTAGTAGTGGATTTTCTTTTTACTGCATGAACATCAGAAAGGTTCTTTCATTCCATTTCTCATATATTTTTTGCAAGTGTTACTTGAACCAGTTATACAAAAAAGCAATATTTTCAAGAGAAAATACCTAATAACAATTAACTTTAGATTGTTAATACAGAATACGTAATATTTGCCATTTCTATCTATTCATTAATTATTAACAAAATTATCTTATTTTCATAGAAAAATATATAGCAAATGTATGGTTATGATATTTTTAAGAGATGACAGGATTTAACATGTTCTCTTTTAAAGATAAGCCAAAAAAATATATTTACCCTCATTTCTGGTTCAATCCGTAAGCAATAAGGTTGATTTTGATACTGCTGAATTTCTCCAGTAATTTCAGCCACTTTCCTCCTCTTACTGAAATTGATTAAATCTTTCCCTTTCTTTTTTAAAAAATCATTATTCCCTTCTTCAGTCTTCAGAATATTTGTTAAATATATTCCTAGTAAAAAAATGTATTTGAAGAAAAATTATAAAACTGGTTATTTAACCATTTGGGAAAAACAACCTATTTAGAAAAGCTGAAAGATATCCTAAAATCCAGCAATTCTATTCCTGAATGTTGATAAGTCTGACAGACGTAATAATTAACTCTACATTAAGAATTTAACAAGGAAATAATTTAAAATAAAAATATTAGGGTTTTGAAAAAGCTTAATTTGTCACTTCTTAGACTAGTAGCCTAAAATAAAAGGGATTCGTTCACAAAGTCTAAATTGTAGTGCTAAATCTATTCTAACCATTTTAATATTTGGTTATAATATCTAATGCCAATGATCTTAAATGATTACTGATAAATAAATTTTAAGCTAATTCTAATTAATAAGACTAGAGATTTATAAACTAATTTTGTTCCCCAAAGCCCATAATTTAAACAGAAAAAGAATTATTCCTCATTCTGGGACAGTAAGAAAATTTTAGTTCCTTTTTCATGCATAATTATTGATTTATTTAAATCAGTAGCTCTCATCTGGGGGCAAGTTTGTTCCCTAAGGGATATTTGGGAATGTCTGGAGACATTTTTGGTTGTCACAACCAGTTGTGTGCTCGAGTGTGGGTGTGTACACTCATACATGCTATGGTATGAATGCTCAAAAATCATGTTGAAATCCTAATGCCCAATATGATGGTTTTAGGAGGTGGGGCCTTTCAGAGGTGCCTAAGTCATGAGGGTGGAGCCGTCATGAATGAGATATGTGCTCTTATAGAAGAGACCCCAGAGAGCTCCTTACAACAGCTCTATGAGGTATTATCAGTCTTCATTTTACAGGTAAAGAAATAGAGAGTTTAAGTTTTATTTATTAATATAGATAGCTAATAAAAGTAGATGCTCTCAGGTATCAAATAAGGACAATCTGCCTCTCAAGGATGGTTTCTTTTGTATATAATACTAGTACACTTTCCCCCCAAATATAAGTACATACCTAGTAACTTACCAAAAAAAGGCACACAAGGTGGATTGATTGACTTAAGTTTTACTAAGTATTTTTTAAAGTGATCTTGACTTAATTCCACAGCTTCATCCAAAATTTTCCTTTTTCTTTCCTGCAAGGCCTTTCAAATATATAATTAAGTATAACTTGTTTTTACAGTTCAATCATATTTTATGAATGCAGAGCTTTTAACTTTATACATTTTTATAAATATTTGAAATTAAGAGATAAGTATTCCTTTCTGCACTTGCCTGAAATTTATCTTCTGATATCTATAAATATAAAACTTAAAAACCTAGTTTTTTTTTCTAATATAAATTAGAGGATTAAACAACAAAAAAAATTCTTCCTCTGGACCTCATTATTTATAATTCTGATTAACACAGAGTTTTAAGTTATAGCTTTAGGAGAGAAATATAATTTCCTAGTGTTCAAATATTCTCCCACTGAAAGATATTTTGAGGCTATGGCAAGGTTTTGAGAAGGGGAAGGCTGTGAGAAGACAAGAACTAAATAAAAATTTACTAAGTCAAGTAAGCAGAGTCATTTATTTTATACTTCATTATTCTATTTTCTTATTAAAATTAATTAATTACATTATTTTAAGCTGATAGTATATACACACGCACCCCCACAGCAAATATTATACCTGATGGAGAACCATTCAATGCATTTCCTTTAACTTATTACAAATCTAACCAAAGAGATGTGAGATTTCCATCAAGAAAATCATGAACCTTATTAAACTAACTAACTAACTAACTGAAACATATGCTATGTTCATGTCATGGTTGGGAAGACACTGTAAAAACGTCAGCTCTTCACTAATTGATTTACAAAAACCATGCAATTCCTATCAAAATCCAAACTTTTAAAAAAAATGAAACTTAAGCTGATTCTTAAATGTATATAGAAGAACAAAGGGGTCAGGAGTAGCCACTCTTGAAAAAGAATGATTGGTGGGAACTTACAGAAGGCAAACAATTGATGTTTCTCTCTTTCTCCTTTCCTCTCTCTAAGCATGTCCTCAGGTGAGGACTAAAAAAAAAAAAAAAAAAAAAAGAAAAGAAAAGGAAAGCAGAAAGGGAATAAGCATGAAATTCAGAATCAAAAGGGTAGCTGGCTCTGAAGGGATAAGAAAAGAAATTGAATTTGTAGAAGTTCTTAAATTAGATGCCATGTATAGAGGTGTTCTTTATATTTTTATTCTTTATACCTAATACACATTTTCAGAAATATTGTTCTGTACACAATATTATAACAAACTAAACCTGAACTTCTTAAACTAAATACACTATTTAAGAGTATTTCAGAATTAGAATTGAAATTAATTTATTAAAAGATTAATATTTGACACTATTTGACTGTTAATATCTTTAATACATAAAAAGTTCATACAGCCCTAACCGGTTTGGCTCAGTGGATAGAGCGTTGGCCTGCGGACTCAAGGGTCCCAGGTTCGATTCCAGTCAAGGGCATGTACCTTGGTTGCGGGCACATCCCCAGTGGGGAGTGTGCAGGAGGCAGCTTATCGATGTTTCTCTCTCATCGATGTTTCTAACTCTCCTTTCCCTTTCCCTTCTTCTCTGTAAAAAATCAATTAAAAAAAAAAAAGGTCATACAAATCAACAAAATGAAAACACCCAAATAGAAAAAAACATACATGAAAGCCATTTATCCTCCACTCCCCTCTAATCACAACCTTCTGAAAGAACCAATGTTAAGAAAAATGTATGTATCCTTCCACACTATTCTCAATGCTCATACAACTTCACTTACATGTTTAATGTTTGTTACATCAAAATGAAATCATATTATACTCATTATTCTGATGTTTTTTAAATGACTTTCCCCCAAAATATCAGAAATACTCTTCCAAGACATACATATAGATCCTTATTCACTTTTTTTTTCTATAGCTGAACAATATTCTACATTATAGGAGTAGGACAACGTATTCAATCATTCTCTTATTGATGAACATCCAGGTTATTTCTAGTTTTCTGTTGCCACAGTTAATGCTACAGAAATTACATCTTTGTACATTAACTTTATAGTCTGGCTCTTTTATTTCTGGATCTAAGACTATGCACATTCTAACATTTATTTCCAGATCACTTTCCAGAAAGACTGTAAAAATTCACATTGCCAAAGGCAATATATTTGCATTGCTGTGCCTCTAACATTTTATCCTTCACTTAGACCAGTGGTTCTCAACCTTCCTAATGCCGCAACCCTTTAATACAGTTCCTCATGTTGTGGTGACACCCAACCATAAAATTATTTTTGTTGCTACTTCATAACTGTAATTTTGCTAGTTATGAATTGTAATGTAAATATCTGATATGCAGGATGTATTTCGGTGACCCCTGAAAAGGTTGTTCGACCCCCAAAGGGGTTGCGACCCACAGGTTGAGAACCGTTGACTTAGACAATAAAAAAGATTTTCTGGGTACAAAAATAAAGGAAGAATTCATAAATGAAGGATTGATACGTTCAACTAAATAAAAATGATAAAACTTCATATATAAAAACATTATATAAATTTTTTAAAAAGCAGTTAAAGACAAATAGAAACTGAAGAATACCTGGGCAATATTTGACTAGGTATTAATATCTTTAATATATAAAAGATGATAAAAATTAATAAGATGCAAACATCCAAATACCAGAAAGAGTATATAAATTACAAAGAAGAAAGTAAAATGGCCCATAAATACATTTAAAGACATTCAACCTTACTACTTATTTTTTTTTTTAAATATCTAAAAAGAAGGTTTTTCTCTGGGCTATGAAATCTGTAAATAAGTTTTTAACAAGGTAATAGCCAGAGGGATTTATCATATCTTGCTAGAAAGTACCTTGATGATATTATCAAAAGTCTTAAAAGGTACAAATACTCTGAGCCAGCTATTCCATCTCTAGAAATTTATTCTAGGGAAATAATCAAATTCTTACGAAGATTTCTGTAAATGGATGTTCCATGTTAAATTACTTACCACAGCAAAAAAATCAGAAGTAGCTTAACTGTCCCACAATAGTGTGTAAAATAAATTATGGTTTATATCACTGGATAGAAAATAACTCAGTCATTAAAAATTTGTTTTTGAAGATAAGCTAATAAAACAAGAAAATATGCCCTAACCGGTTTGGCTCAGTGGATAGAGCATCGGCCTGCGGACTAAAGGGTCCCAGGTTCGATTCCGGTCAAGGGCCTGTACTTGTGGGCACATCCCCAGTAGGGGGTGTGCAGGAGGCAGATGATCGATGTTTCTAACTAACTCTCTATACCTCTCCCTTCCTCGCTATAAAAAAATCAATTAAATATATTTTTTAAAAAACCACCAAGAAAATATTTATGATAAAAAGGTACAGGCCATAAAAATCTATGTACAATATGATCTAAATTTTATTAAAAACATGTGAAATTTCCTTCTATACTTTCTATATCTTCTGAATTTTCTATAATAAACACTAAACATATACTACTTTATGATTTGAAAAAACATGTAAATTTAGGTTTTAGAAAGGGTTCTCTCCATGTTATTTCTCTATCTACCAAAGATGATTAAAGTAATTTGTATACTTATATCTGAAATCCTTTGTCATTATTTAAAACTATCAATCAATGTGCTGTTGAAAAAAAATCCATTTGGAACTTCATTACACTTTTGGTAAGCATATTAATTAAACAAAGTCTCAAGTCCCAGATTCTTTCATGAACCCTAGGCTTACTTAGTATATATTGATGTAATTTTCTAATATCTTAAAATCATTGCATTTAAGGGAATAAGATAGATTTACCACAAAAGATAGGTGGTAGAAGGAATCTCTTTAATTTTACCTTCCCTCAAAATAATGAAATATTTAAGCCTAAAACTTACCTCAAAGGTATGATCTAGTCTGTATACTGACACTGAGTTTACTGCACTGACTATTTCCAATACACCATTGAAATTATTCAAATCTTGAAAAACTTGCAGAATTTCTATAATTCTACTTAGTACTGCCACCCGTTCCTCAAAATTTTCTGCTTCCACAATGCACCTAACAAAAAAAGAAAAAGAAAAAAATTTATGGTTTAGAAACCAATTTCCTCAACTCATGTAGAAAATATATTTTCAGCAAGGATTTTGGCTTATATATTAGTTAATATTATTATTAAGAATGAGACACAGTAAGTAAAAACTTACTTTTCAAACCAGAGAGTAAGATTTGTAGTATGGCGAATCATTTTTAATAAATTCGGAGAATTTATTTCTTTATCTTCTTTGGTCCATACACTCCCTACAAGTTCAGAAGGTTGAACTTTCCTGTGGAACCAAAAATCAATGCAACTTAACCTACAAAGGATTATCAAAATTATTTAAAATTCTAATACTTAATAACAAAAACACAATTAACCTAAAAGATAAGTGGACAAATATAAGAAGAGGTAATTCACAGAGAAATAGACCCACTAGCCACAAATATAAATAAATACTTTCTCTTACTCAGGGAAAAGAGCATTAAACCATAATGAAATCCCATTTTACTTTAGTTAGACTAATAAAAGTTTGACACCAAAAGGGCAAAAATGTGAAAGAACAAGAAATTTCCAATACTGGTGTGAAATAAAAATTGATATGGTCACTTTATAAAGCAATTTGTCAATGTCTCATAATACTGAAGATATACATACTAGATCACCCAGCAATTCTATACCTGTACTCTAGGTATATACTCTAGATACAACAGGTTATAAGAAAACATTTATGGGAATGTTCAGTGAAGCATTGTCTGTGAGAGTGAAAAGTCCCAAACAACCTAGAGGCTCATCATCAAAAGACTGTGTAAAATATGGAGTATTCTTACAACGGAATACCATACAGCAATTAAAATAAGCAAACTAGCCCAGGAGGTGTTGCTCAGTGGTTGAGCATCGAACCATGAACTAGGAGGTCATGGTTAGATTCCCAGTCAGGGCACATACCTGGGTAACGGGCTCAATTCCCAGTAGGGGGCATACAGGAGGCAGCCAATCAATGATTCTCTCTCATCATTGATACTTCTATCTCTCTCTCCCTCTCCCTTCCTCTCTCTGAAATCAATAAAAACATTTAAAAAAAAACAAAAACAGAAAAACTAGAGCTATATTTCTTAACTTGAACAAGAGCCAGACACAATTTAAGTAAAAAACAAGTTGCAGAATGATACATAAAGTTTTAAAATGTGAAACAAAGCTATCTTTTTTAAAATTTTTAAAAAAATATATATTTTATTGATTTTTTACGGAGAGGAAAGGAGAGGGATAGAGAGCCAGAAACATCGATGAGAGAGAAACAGATCAGCTGCCTCCTGCACACTCCCCACTGGGGATGCGCCCGCAACCAAGGTACATGTCCTTGACCGGAATCGAACCCAGGACCCTTGAGTCCGCAGGCCAATGCTCTATCCACTGAGCCAAACTGGTTAGGGCAAAGCTATCTATTGTTAATGAATGTTTATATTGATATTAATTATAAAAATATAAACAGGAATAGTAAACACTAAATATAAGATAGTGATATTACTTGGGAGAAAGAGGAGGAATGGGGTTAGAGAGAATTACACAAAGGATTTCAACTTTATTCATAATTCTTTTGTTGTTCATGAGTGCTTATTATATTATTTTCTACATTTTTTGGAATACCTGAAATATTTAATAAAAATGTCAAACAAAAGAGCTGATTAAATAATTGTACATAGAGAGTTAGGGTTACATAATTTAAAAAACTGACCAGCACCCTGGCTGGTTGTGGCTCAGTTGGTGGAGCGTTGTCCCATTCACTGGTTCGATTCATGGTCAGGGCATATCAGGGTTGCGGGCTCAATCCCCAGCAGGGGGCATGCAGGAGCAGCTGATAGATGTTTCTCTCTCCCCCTCTCCCTTCCTCTCTCTAAAATCAATAAAAACATTTTTTAAAATAAGTTTTCTTAAAGTGGTTCTATTATTTCACCAGAAATTTAGTTTAGTGTTAATGTTTTATGTAGCTACCCATCTTCCATAATACACATATCATTTAACAAAGGTATTCCTATGTTCTGAAAGCAAGTCCACATAGAGCTAAGTGCTTTTTTCTTTCTGATGTCTATTCGTGTAACAGTCACCACATGAAGAAAAACTTGATTCAGTACTATCTGCTTTGTTAACTCAAGTAACAAGTCCTTCCATTCCTACTTATCACAAATCCCACATTATAAACAAAAACAACCTGAACTCCAAATTATGTAAAATATAACATGACACTCTGAGTCAGATGCTGACAACCTCCAACTTGTGTGCTAAATTCTGAATAACACAGCCAAGGCAAAGCACAGGCCCAATTCTAAAGTAGACAGAGTTTTTTGTCTAGTGCTAATGGAAAATATCCCTTCCTACATTCCCTATTAGCACTAAACTTTATATAGTCTTACTTTTCTATGTAATCCCTGTAAAAAAAAAAAAAAAAAAGGCTGCTAATCAGGATAACTTATTTTTATATACAGAGTGTCCCAAAAAAATGTATACACACACTTTAAATAATTATAAAGGCAATGTTTATTAAAATACACTAGAGGCCCGATGCACAAAATTCGTGCATGGGGGCAGGGGTTCCTTCAGCCCGGCCTGCACCCTCTCCAATCTGGGATCCCTCTCGCAATCCGGAACCATTGGCTCCTAACCGCACACCTGCCTGCCTGCCTGATGGCCCTAACTGCTCTCCCCTCCTGGCCTGATTCCCCTAACTGCCTATCTGCTCTCCCCTCCTGGCCTGATCCCCCTAACTGCCTATCTGCTATCCCTTCCTCTCTACGTCCTTCAGACCCTGGCACAGGCGTGCTGAGAGCTCTCCGCCGCGGCTCCGCCCCCATCCTGATTGGTCATTACATGACGGCGTCCAGGTCAATTTGCACATTCCTCTACTATTAGTATAGATTTCATCTTCAAAATTGAGCTATCAGCTGTTAAAGTGTGTATACATTTTTTTGGGACACCCTGTATATGTATATTTTTAGTCCTTACCCCAGGACATGCTTACAGGGAGGAAAGGGGAGAGAGGGAGAGAGGGAAAGAGGGAGACAGGGAGACAGGGAGGGAGGGGGAGAGGGAGAGGGAGAGGGAGAGGGAGAGGGAGAGAGAGAGAGAGAGAGAGAGAGAGAGAGAGAGAGAGAGAGAGATCATTTGGACCAGAAACATTTTGGTGCATAGGACAAAGCTCTAAAACTGAGCCACTCCAGATATAGGGTGATGGCAAGAACACTATATGTAAAGAAAGGTGACGGAATACAGATTAAAATAAATATAGCCAAGCACATTTCTAGTGATCCTTAGAAATGAAAGAAAATGGTTTGGAAGGATTTTTTGTTTTTTAATTTATTTTTTTAAATAGTTTCATTGATTTCAGAGACAAAGGGAGAGGGAGAGTTAGAAATATCAATGATGAGAATCACTGATTAGCTGCCCCCTGCACACCCCCTACTGGGGATCAAGCCTGCAACCCAGGCATGTGCCCTGATCATGACCTCTTGGTTCATAGGTCAATGCTCAACCAATGAGCCATGTTGGCCAGGCTGGAAGTTTTACCTATGGCTCATCATCACACTACTTCAGAAATAATTTCTCTTTAAAGTTAATATTGACTTCAAAGAGCTAATGTTATTTGAGATGCCTTAAAAAAAATTAAGAAATCTTTATTCCTCTAACAATTTTGTTATTCATTTGCCTGACAAACCTAACCCTGCCAAGCTCCCAAGAAAAATTCTGATTATGTAGAATCTGAAAAAAAGAAAAGCAAAAAGAATAAAGCTTGTCTCACTCAATATTCTATGTACTTAGCTGCCAAGAGCCTAGCATCTATACTGACTGATTTAGCTGAAACAACTCAATAAAGCAATCTGAGAGAGGTAGTATTAGGAGTAGGAGCTCAGTGACTACTTTGAAAGTGGCTGTTGTTCTATTGCATTAGTATTCTCTCTGCCACTGCTCTCGTGAAGGATTGCTAAATACCAAATCTGGGCCTATACAGCAATACATTTTAAGACTTTTGCCAGCTGAACAGACTGAAGTTAAAAACTGTACTATAGCTGTAGCCAGTTTGGCTCAGTGCACAGCGTCAGCCTGTGGACCAAAGGGTCCCAGGTTCGATTCCGTACCTCGGTTGCAGTCTCCTCCCCAGCCCGGGCCCTGGTCAGGGTGCATGCAGGAGGCAACCAATTGATGTGTTTTCTCTCACATCCATGTTTCTCTCTGTCTTCCCCTCTCTCTTTCACTCTCTCTCAAAATCAATGGGAAAATATCCTCAGGTGAGGACTAAAACAAACAAAAAAACAACTGTGCTATAAACTTTCCATCATGCCCATAAGAATACATGAAGGTATTTTTAAGCACTCATGAATAATTTACTAAATGTTCTGAAAACAGAGGTAGGTTCAAGGTTCTTGAAAACAGAGCAGCATATTATTGATAATGTCTACCTGTAGAGATCAGATTCCAAAAGTGTCAGCTGACGTGCAATTTCTATTGGATGAAGTGTCATGAGATCAAATGTTTCAAACTGTCCTGGTCTGCTGATATGCCATTCAATTGGCGGAGGTGGATTTTCAAAGGTAATATTATGGCTTATTCCATTTGCCTGAGCTTGTTTCTTCCTTTTGATGATCTTAGCAATTGACTCTACCCATTTCTTCATGGCTTTCCCTAGATAAAGATACAAAACAAAAATGCCTTTTATTTGATAGATAACATAAACCTTTACATAATGTTAAACATTTATCTAGCTTCAACAAGGACCAACTCAATGGTGTCTTTTTGTTTCATCTAACCCCAATCATGCCCTCCCTTCTATCCCTGTTATTTAAAAACAAATATAATACTTAAGTAATATTTATTTAAAAGTTAAAGATTTTAAAAATAACAATACCATGATCACATATAAAAAATGACAATAACTTGTTAATATCATCAAATAGTGTTCAGTCTGGCTGGCATGGCTGTGGTTGAGCATTGACCTATGAACTAGGAGGTTGGGGTTTGATTCCCGGTCAGGGCACATGCCAGGTTATGGGCTCAACTCCCAGTGGGGGGTGTGCAGGAGGCAGCCAATCAATGGTTCTTTCTCATCATTGATGTTTCTATCTTCCTTTCCCTCTCCCTTCCTTTCTGAAATCAATAAAAATATATTAAAAAAATATTAGTGTTCAAATTTCTCTGATTATCTCATGTTTTCTTATAATTGGTTTGAAATAGGATTTGAATGAGATCTACACATTGCACTGAGTTAGTGTGTCTCAAGTCTCCTTTAATCTCTCATTTTGCTTGTAATTTATTTTTACTCTGTGTTTCCCCAAGTCTGAATTCTGCCAATTCCATCCCTGTGGTATCACTGCCATGTTTTGCTGTCCCTGTATTTTCTGGAAATCAGATACATAGAGACTTGATCTGATTCAGGGTCAATTTTTGACACGAATACTTGCCAGTATATTTTTAACAGGAGACATAGAATGTCCAGTTACTTTTCTTTTTGTGATGTTACTAGGAATTGAGAAATGGTAATCTAATTCTATCATCCTTCTTCACTTACTAGTTATAATACTTCTAAAAAAGAAACTTTCACAAATCAACTATTTGGTTATCCTGAGGTATGTGTATAGACAAGGCCTTTAGATATTAACTATAGACATTAATATAAAATTTACTTGTTTTATTCTAATACGTGTGTGTATTATAAAAGCTTCTTAGATTACATACATTTTAGTGTCTCCATTGCAATATTAATTTAAATTAATTCAGTACTATAAATAATTTTAAAGTACACCTGAAAATTTTATCTTGAACATCTCAAAATTTAAAGAAATCATATTCTCTATTTTAAGTAAAATTTCCCTTAAAAAACAAGTACATGAAATAAGTTAGGCTTAGTTATAGTATTCTTAATTAACACATTATACTCTCAGATAAAATATAAATGTTCTTGATTCAATAACATACGTTTAATGACTCATACATCTGTTTAAATGTTCATGGCCTAGACTTTCATTTCATGGGCTGTGTTCTGCTATTTCAGGTAGGAAACTCCTACCTTTCAGATGCCAAAATATATTAAAGACTTTTCCAGGGGGAAGTAAACCTTATTTAAAAAGTTATTAACTTTTCAAAACTAAAGAATAAGATTAAAGAGACTAAGGAAATATTTGTAATTATACAAATATATAATTAGTTGAAGGAATGACAATCTTGACATGAGATAAAAATAAATGGCTTAAATTTATTAAAGAGGACTTCTGACTTCTTTAAAAGAAAGATTCTACTAAAAAACTTGAAAGGTAAGGTTCTAAGACTTCAGGTGGTTCTAAATATATACAAGTTCCTTGGAGTCTTTAAATATTATTCCAAATCTTATTTCAGTTTTTTTAACATGAAAACTAGTTTCACTTTTAAATTAAAAGTCACACAAATTTAAAAATAAACTCATGTGTGACATAAGATTCAATCAAACCTTTAAATAATATACCTCTTACACTTGAAATGAAGGATTCTAGTCTTTCGAGCAACTCCAAATCTCTTTCAAAGTCATAAAAATGGTGTTCAACCCAGTGCCGAAATACATTTAAGATCCTGATAAAATGGGGAAACAAACAAACAAACACATTTTAATGAAACCTAAGCATTCAATTATACTTCTTTTACCTCTCTTAATGCCATGGTGATAACTTTACATACAAAGGCCATAACACTGACAGAGCCTGCAATTTGTACTTAATTAATATCTTAAGTGCTTCAACAATATGAAGACAGATCTCAGACTGTTTATTATTTTAAAATTATACTTTTTAAATATTTTATAAGCATAATAAAAAATGGTTCCTGTAATTGTTCCTTTAGCAAAAGTACCTTTTCTTTATTCAGACGTGCAAAATTCATTCTCTATATTATACAAAGCTATTTTAAATGCTTATGTTAGAAAGTATTTTTATGATCTAAATTTTTATATATTTTCCATATAAGATGGAAAATCAACTAAGGTTTAATATATTTGGTTCAAATTTCTATGTAATTTACAGACATATCCACATTCTTTTTTTTCAAAAGAAAAAATATTTCTGACAGAGCTATTTTGTTTTGCAGTATCACAAAATATTACTTATGACTGTCCACGTAGAGATTTAATCAATCTATACAAATATAACATTCTACTCTTAGACTTAGAGATACAGTAAATTAATTAGATTAGCATTTCTCCTTCATTATTTCAGTGGGTGACTATTTCTATATTTTTATTCAATTAATTAGACTGACATTGGTTAATAAAATTATATAGGTTTTAGGTGTACAATTTTATAATATATCACCTGTTATTGTATTGTGTGTTCACCACCCCAAGTCAAGTCTCCTTCCATCACCATTTATCCTTCCGTTGCGCTCTTTTACCTTCCCCACCCCATTTTCCCTCTGGTAATCACCATACTGTTGTCAGTTTATGAGGATGGGTTTTGTTGTTTTTTTCTTAATCCCTTCACCTTTTTCATCCAACCCACCTATCCCCTCCCCTCTGACAGCTGAGTCTGTTTCTATTTTGTTAGTTTATTTTGTTCTTTAGATTCCACATATAAATGAAATCATATGGTATCTGTCTTGCTCTGACTGGCTTATTTCACTTAGCATAATACTCTCCAGGTTCATCCATGCTGTTGCAAAGGCTAAGATTTGCTTCTTTTTTTACGGTAAAGCAGTATATTCCATTGTATAAATGTACCACAAATTTTTTATCCACTCATCTACTAATGGACACTCGGGCTACTTCCAAATGTTGGTTACTATAGTGCTCGCTTCGGCAGCACATATACCAAATGTTGGTTACTATAAATAGCACTGCAGCAAACACAGGGGTGCATATATTCTTTCAAATTAATGTTTCAGGTTTCTTTGGATATATTCCCAGAAGTGGAATCACTGGGTCATAAGACAGTTCCATTTTTAATTTTGTGAGGAAACTCCACACTGCTTTTCACAGTGGCTGCACCAATCTGCATTCCCCCATGAGGGTTCCCTTTTCTCCACATCCTTCCCAACACTTGTTCGTTTCTAGGTTAGCTTTCTTCTTTTCTAACTGACAGACAATACTTCTTCTCCCAGGCTAAGAAAATTCTTTAAATTCCTAATCTCTGTCATGCTATCTGAACAAAACCACCTTAGTCATTGTGTGCCTGGTTAGGTCTGTGGCTTAGAAAATATTTCAAGATATCACAAAACTGTTAGCTTCTACTTTGCACAGGGTTAATTCAAATAACTACTTCCATTTCCTCTCCTTCCTAGTTTCTACAGTAGCCAATGTAATTTCAAAATTATCATATAAGAGAAAAAATATCTCATAATTAGATTTCATCAAAATGAAAAACTCATCAAAATATATTATTAAGAAAAGTAATAGGCAAGCCACAGATTGAGAGAAGATATTTATAAAACATTTATTTGACAAAAGACTGGAATCTAATCTTACTCAGTAACTGTAACAACTCAATAGTAAAAAAACAAACAACTCAAAAAATAGGCAGAAGATTTGAATAGATTCTTCACAAAATAAGTATGAATAGCCAGTAAGAGACAATGTAAAGTTCTCAAACATCATTAGTCATCAAATTAAAACCACAGAGAAATACCACTACACTCCCTCAGTGTATATAAGGTATAAAGGTAGTCATCATTAAATGTTAATGAGGATGTGAAGCAACTGGAACTCTAATACATTGCTAGTGAGAATGTAATCTATACTAATAAAAGAGAAACATGCAAATTGGTCATCACTCCACTACGCCCACCAGCCAATCAGGGCGAGTATGCAAATTAAGCCAACAAAGATGGCGGCGGCCATGGAGCTGGAGTGAGCAGGGGGCTTGGGTTGTCCCCGGCAATGGAGGAAGCCAAGCTTCCCGCCTGCCCTGGCCACCGCTGAAGGAGTGGCTGGGGACCTGGGTCACCAGGGGCAACCCAGGCTTCCAGTTGGCCCTGGCTGGCCTCTGCTCAAGGAGGGGCTGGGGGGCCTGGGTCACCAGGGGCTACCCAGGCTTCCAGCTGGCCCTGGCCTCCGCTCAAGGAGGGGCTGGAAAAAAATAAAAGGAGGGGCTGGGAGCATGGGTTGCAGTGAGGCATGGCCAGCCTGAAAACGGCCCTCAGTCCCTTACCCAGGCTGGCCACACCCCCATGGAGTAAAGATCCCTGCTGGGCGGCCTGGCAAGCCTGCAAACAGCCCTCAGCCCCGCACCCAGGCTGGCCAGGCACCCCAGCGGGAACCCCCACACTGAAGGGGCTGTGGCCAGCCTGAAAACGGCCCTCAGTCCTTTACCCAGGCCAGGATGGGATGGTAGTGGGGGGTGATCAGGCTGGTGTGGGGGGCCATTGGGGGTGATCAGGCCGGTGGTGGGGGAAGCAGTCGGGGGTGAGCAGACCAGCAGGGGGGCCAGTTGGGGGCAAGCAGGCCATCAGTTGGGGGTGATCAGGACTGTGGGGGGCAGTTTGGAGTGAGCAGGCCAGCAGGGTGGCAATTGGGGGCGAGCAGGCCGGGGGGGAGGGAAGATGGGGGCGAGCAGGCCAGCAGGGGGGAGCAGCTGGGGGTGAGCATACTGGCACGGGGGGCAGTGGGGGTGATCAGGCTGGCGGGGGGGGCATTTGGGGGCAAGCAGGCCGGCGGTGAGGGCCGGGCAGTTGGGGGCGAGCAGGCCAGCAGGCAGAGTGGTTAGGGGCAATCAGGCAGGCAGGCAGGTGAGCAGTTAGGAGCCAGCAGTCCCGGATTGCGAGAAAGATGTCCGACTGCCGGTTTAGGCCCGATCCCTGTAAACCGGCAGTAGGCCATCCTTTGAGGGGTCCCAGATTGGAGAGGGTGCAGGCCGGGCTGAGGGACACACACACACACATCCTTCCCCCTCTCTCTGCACGAATTTTGTGCACTGTGCCACTAGTACAGTATAATCATTTTGGGAAATATTTGGCAGTTTCTTTTAAAATTAAACATACACCTACCCTACGACTCTGCCATTCCACTCTGAGTTATTAACCCAAGATACTATGTGAAAAAGTATATTCACAAAAAACTTGAAAAATAAAAGTTCATTGAAGCTTTTTTCATAATAATGAAAACTGAAAGGAACCCAGGTGTCCTTCAGTGGGAAAATTAATAAACAAACTGTGGTATATTCATATAATAGAATACCACCTCAGCAATAAAATAGAACTATTGATACAAGCAACAACATGCTCACAAACATGTGCAGTGAAAGAAGTTAGACACAAAAGAGTGTACAATATAAGAATCCATTTATATAAAATTCTAAAATAGGTAAAATTAATCTATGTAGTAAGATAAATACTGCTTTGGGCAATCAGAACAAAAACTGATTAAAATGGGCATAAGGGGACTTTCTGGGGTGATGATAACATTTTATATCTTGAAAGGAATTTGGATTATAGAAATGTATATTATCTGTTAAAAGTCAACCAAAGAATATTGTATACACAGTTTAGAAAAAAAGAATAAACAAATACCATTAATGATATACAAGTTGAAGTATTTAAAGAAAAGTGTACTTTGAATTACAACTCCCAAATGGATGATTAATGGACCAATAGAAGAATGATAAGTGAATAAATGTACGGTAAAATCAAGATAGCAAAACATTAAGCCCAAGGTTATTAGATATTCATAATGAGACATGAAGAAAAAAAGGTGTGTGTGTGTGTGTGAGGGAGGAGTTGACAGTAGGCAAACTCATATGCAATTTTATAAGTTTTACTTAATAGGTATCCTGTTCTGTAAGAATATCACATGCCAGATATCTGATGCAAATAACATCTATTTTAATAATTAAAATTCTTCAGGGTATTTAAGAGTAACTTCACAAAGAAAGAACTTAACTGCTATGAGGTTAACAATAATACCTATACCCGAATTAAGAGGTAAAAACTTTTGTGCTAACTATACACTGAAAATAGAATGGCACATTAAAAATATAATATACACGCCAAACCTAAGTTGCACTGGTTGGACGTATTCCTTGCGAAACCTTTTAAGGTCTACACTAATTGGTTGTTCGCCTTTCTCTGCTGCCAATTTATCTGCTTCAGTAGGTTCTGGCTCTGGAATTTCAAATCTAAGAAGAAAAGCAAAATGAGAGAAATTTTTCAATGTTTATACATAAATGAAAAGGATTTCAAATACAGCAGTAAAAATATTTTAACTAAGCAACATTCTTTTCTACTATTTATGTGAAAAGTACAATTACTGATAAATTTTCCTTAAAGCATTACATACTACAAAAAATTGCCCTTTGGCTATACAGTACTAAGGTTTTCTTATAGTCTTACTTCTATAAAAAAGTTTAATAACTAGTATTTATCAACATAGAAAAGATCAATGGAAAAGATTCAAGAAAATAATCTGTAAGAAGTATAACCTCTTTAATATCCATAATATTTATTTTTTTTAAATGCAAGTAGATATACCTTTCCTTAAATAAATGAATATAAATCCTAAGAGAGGGTCCAAACTGAATTTTAAACTGTAAAGAATATACCTAAGTGAATAAAGTAAAAAGCAAAGTTAAAAAAAATAAAAACTGCCCACAAGAAATACAGCTAAAATATGTCTAACATGTATGCTTTCTTAATTTTGGACATGGAAATACAACCAAGTACATCTTCACAGCTCATTACAGTGACTCAGTCTGGTAAACTTTGTTTCATAGAAAAACAATGATAAAGGTCAAGATAATATTCTGGCATTAAGTTTTTAAATGTGAAACAGAAATTATTTTAGAGTCCAGATGCTACATTTAACCTTTAAAGCATTTAAAATGCCACTAATTGTACTCAGTAAAAGATAAAAAGTCAATCTAAAACTTACTTTTAAAAATTAATTGCAATAAGAAAATGTTAATTTTTAGGTCTAATAATGATATTTTGATTATGTTTTTAATAAGAGTACTTATCTTTTAGAAATACAACTGGAAATATTTACAGGTAAAATACACTGTCTAGAATTTACTGCAAAAGACAGTTGTCCCTTGGGACCCCAGAGGATTGGTTCCAAGACCCCAGCAGATACAAAATCCACTGTTGCTAAAGTCCCTTAGCCCTCCATATTCTCAGATATGGAGGCAGATAAGGATAATGAACCCATGGAAACAGAGGCTGACTGTAATCCTGGAATCAGGATGTTGAAACGGTAGGAAAATAGGGGACACATGAGTTGATAATTATTGCAGTTGGATGACTGATACATGAGGTTATTTTATTTTCCTATTTACCCTTGTACACATTTTGAAATATTTCATATTAAAAAGTTTGTTTTGAAAGTAAAAAAGTCTCTTTTAAGGAAACATTGTTTTATTGTACAGAAAACAATTTAATTAAGATACACAGTTTTATCCTCTAAAATGGGTCTTTCTGATTACCACTATAAACATTGCTAAGCTTTGAAAAGACCTCTATTATAAACAGGCATTTCAGTTTAAGCACACTGTTTAAAGTGAACAGAAATACTGCTAATTTTATGCCAAATAAATTATATTAAAAAACTACTTGAGAAGATACTAGGTACCCAGAATTTTACAAGATAAAAAACAGTTTAGTGTTTTTTTTTTAATATATTTTATTGATTTTTTACAGAGAGGAAGGGGGAGAGATAGAGAGTTAGAAACATCGATGAGAGAGAAACATCGATCAGCTGCCTCCTGCACATCTCCTACTGGGGATATGCCCACAACCAAGGTACATGCCCTTGACCGGAATCGAACCTGGGACCCTTGAGTCCGCAGGCCGACGCTCTATCCACTGAGCCAAACCAGTTTTGGCCAGTTTAGTTTTTACAAAATGTAAATATAAGTGAAATAAAAATTTTTCTTACCGTTCAATCAGTAAGCTTAGCAATTCCTGTGGTTTACAAAATGAACGATATGTAGTAAGAAAAGTACGAACAAAATTGGGATCTGAAAAAATAGAGCATAAAACAGGTTGCATGTTCAATTTATTCAGCATATTTTGGAGGTCTTATTTCCTTTTTCCTTTTATCCTGGCTTTTCCCACTGTGGCTCTTTCTGCCAATCACAGTATTTCTTGTGAAACGAGGATTGTTTTCAAATTCAAGATTTATGGATATACAATTTTTATGAATATTTAATTATCAGTGAAGTTAATACTATATTTTAGAGACATTTAATTAGTTACTTATTCCTTTTGATTCTGCAGTATTCTTTTCATATTTTAGAGGCATTTTTTTCAGGCCTCAAGCCTTTTGAACATTTTTGAAAAGCTTTTAGCTCCTTTGGCCTAGATAATCACTTGTAATGAGTTTCACATACCTGCATACATATGATATGTTAACCTTTCAATTAACTTCACCACTGTTCCTCCTTTAATAATGGGGATTCCACTTCTACTTTGCAAGTTGTCTTCAAAAACAATGTTTTCCTCAGAGTCTTTTACCACAAAACGATAAACTTCAGGACTTGGTAATCTCAGTGGTTGCTCATTTTCTTCTTTCAATAATACTGAATCTAGCATTCGATCTAGAGTACTACGATAATGAAGAGAAATAAGTGCTGCCATCCAATTATTTTTCTCTTCAGCAGACTTAGCAGCAAATATTATGCTGTTTTCCTCTTTGGATACTAATTCAAAAGCATGTTTGTACTCACAAGTATCTTCTTTATCACATATTTGTATTTTTCTCATGACAAATTTTTCTTTTAATCTATATTCTGCACTACTGTAACCTGGAAGGCGTGACTGGCTGTGATTGGGTTTGCAGCTAATCATTAAGCCATCAAAAAGAAAAATATGCCGTTCGTGTTTAGCACCAATTCTTGTCAATGGACCTTCCATAATGAATTCATTACAACACTGTCCAATATCTTTGCCTTCCCATCCATCTATGTTTTTCTGAATTTCATTCATTTTTTTAATAGCCAGGTGCTTGCTTCTTAATTGACGATTATAAAAAGGGCAAACAGGATCCCTAAAAAAAAATACCAAGACAAAGTTAGCTTATTCAATGACTAAGCAACCATAATTGCTTTAAGTATAAACTACCTCAAATCAAGTGACAAAAATGCTAAATAACCAAACACTAGATTTTGCACACAGCATTTATTTTCTTCTACTAACTTTGCCACTACAAGTCTCAATTTCATTATTGTGAAAGAGAAGTACCAGAGGCTCTATATTTCATTCCTACTGCCCATATGTATTAAAATTAAATAATCCTATTTCTTATATAAATTATACAAAATTTATCAACTATGTCCTTTAAATTTTTTACACATATCTTAACAATATTAGAATGCCAATTTAAAAAGACTACAAGACCAAAATAAAAATGTAAAACCAAAGTATAATATTCAAGAATGCAACTATCACTATAAATAACACTTCTTGAGAAAAACAGGCAACAGATGTAAGTGAAGTATGCAGAAGCATTCATATTTTCAACAGTTTGGAATTACCCAGGTCGGCGTCGAGGTGAATACTGCTTGTAAATTCGGTCCATACTACCTTGGAGATTCATGAGAGCAGTAATCGCTTGGTTCAAACATTCTCTATCTTCTTGTTCTTCACTACAAGCTTTCAATTGCTAGGAAGACCCAAAAAGAAAAATTAAACCTACATTGTTCAATAATTTTCCTTTCTCATAATTAGAGGAAGCAGCAATATTATAACTCTAAATGAAGTTTAAATGCACTTAATAAAAACCGCTATGATTTTATATAATTATGTATACTTCTGATCCCTCAAATCAGTCCTCTTTCTACATATGTGTATATAATACAAATATATAAAGTCCTATTACCAAAGCAATCAGGAAAAAAAATAAACTGTGATAACCATTTGGACATTTTCTAGATTTATAAAAATAGCTCAAAACATGAAGCTTAAAAGTGAATTTTCTTTGTTAATAATTATGAATAGAGAAAATAAGAAACACAAATTATTTCATATCTATCTACTTATATAAAAACCCTGGGTGGTGTTCATCATGACCAGAACCGCCATGACCAAGTGGAAGGAAGTCAGTCCTGCAGGGGATGTCTTGGAAACAGCTGTGCCTTCCCCCAAGCTGTTTCCCGGAGCTGTTTCCTGTAAAGGCGGGGTTTGAGGCAGGAACCCACCCTGGGAGCGTGGAGGCATATCTTTCTAAAGTGTGCTGTGCCAGCACGGGGTGAACCTGAGTGGGGCGGCTAAAAGGCTTAGAAAAGAAAGACAAGAGAATGAAAGCCGGGTCTCGGTGAGACAGCGCCCACACCCACAGCAATGCCTTTATTTTATAGCAGATGCTACGAGGCAAAGGGCGTGACCAAGATGTTTACAAAATTCTCCTGGGTTTCAATCCTACTCAACTACATGCACCTGAACTCTATCAAGCCTACATCACTCAGGCACGTGGGGCCACGTGTTCGGACCATAGGCTCAAGCTTACAACTACAGCTGTTGGCTATAATTGTGCTGGGAGGGCCCTGCCCTCCAAGCTGGGACTTGCACGTGGCAATGAGAGGACTGTGCCCTCTCATCAGTCCAAGGCCTGAACATGTCCAAAACACTGTAGTGGCTCCCCACAATAAAGTTTTCATTCTGTTTCTTTGTTACTACTGTTGTGGCCCCACCCCATAACAAAGAAACAATTTCCAGAGGATGAGGCCCAGGAATCAGGATTTAAAAAAAAATTCCCAGGTGATTCCAATGTGCAGCCAAGGTTGAGAACCACTGCTATAGATAATATTAAAAATATATCTAAACGTGCAATCCTTTGTCCAAAAAATGACCATGTTCAAAAATTAAATGAAGAAAATTTGGATATACTCGGAGATTTTCACACATATTTGAGTAATGATTTCATTGATTCCACAGATGATGCTGAAAAGGAAAATTTTCCCATTGAATTTCTTAATAGTATTACTCCTTCGGGAATACCTTGTCATAAATTAAAATTGAAAGTGGGTACAATCATCATGCTATTGAGAAATCTCAATAGTAAATGTGGGCTCTATAATGGTACCAGATTTATTATCAAAAGATTACGACCTAACATTATCAAAGCTGAAGTATTAACAGGATCTGCAGAGGGAGAGGTTGTTCTGATTCCAAGAATTAATTTGTCCCCATCTGACACTGGCCTCCCATTTAAATTCATTCGACGACGGTTTCCCGTGATGCCAGCATTTGTGATGACTATTAATAAATCACAAGGACAAACTCTAGACAAAGTAGGCATATTCTTACCTGAACCCATTTTTGCACATGGTCAGTTGTATGTTGCTTTCTCTCAAGTTTGAAGAGTATGTGATGTTACAGTTAAAGTTCTAAGTACTTCATCACAAGGGAAATTAGTCAAGCACTCTGAAAGTGTTCTCACTCTTAATGTGGTGTACAGGGTGATATTAGAATAAGTTTAATCACTTTATCAGTCATTGTTTGCATCACTATTGTTTTTATATCATGTTTTTGTTATTTCATATCATGTTTTTGTCGTTTTTATATCATGCCTCTGTTGTTGTTATATCCTTTTGTTACTGTTTATTTATTAATAAATTTATATATTATTTTCATATACATTTTACTAATTTCCTTTCATCTCTCACACTTCAATTATACAGAAAGGGCAAATAGTAATATTAAAATGTCTCCACTAATTAATTCCCTTTTTTAAAAAAACATATTTTATTGATTTTTTACAGAGAGGAAGGGAGAAGGATAGAGAGTTAGAAACATCGATGAGAGAGAAACACTGATCAGCTGCCTCCTGCACACTCCCCACTGGGGATGTGCCTGCAACCAAGGTACATGCCCTTGACCGGAATTGAACCTGGGACCCTTGAGTCTGCATGCCAAGGCTCTATCCACTGAGCCAAACTGGTTAGGGCAATTAATTCCCTTTTAATGTGCACGAATTTCGTGCACCGGGCTACTAGTCCTATATAATAAAGAGCTAATATGCTAATTAGACCAAACAGCAGAACGACCGTCTGGATGACCTTCCAGATGAAGCTGGGGGTGCAAGGGCCGGCCGAGGCAGCTGGGCTGTGAGGGCCGAGCCCCTTGCATGAATTTCGTGCATCAGGCCTCTATCTTATATAATAAAAGCCTAAGCGACCATTACGTCGGAACAACCTGAAAGACTGGTCACTATGATGCGCACTGACCACCAGAAGGCAGACATTCAATGCAGGAGCTGCCCCCTGGTGGTCAGTACGTTTCCACAGGGGGAGTGCCTCTTAGCCAGCTGGTGGCAGCGCTAAGGAGCAGTGAGTCGAGCAGTAAGGAGCAGCAAGCAGGCGGGTGGTAAGGAGTGAGGGATCCCAGACTGCGAGAGGGATGTCCGCCTGCCAGCTTAGGAATCGGGCCTAAGCCACCAGGTGTACATACCCCAAGGGGTGCTGGACTGCAAGAGGGCACAGGCCAGGCTGAGGGACACCCCCGCCCTCCCCCCCCCCACACACACAGTGCACAAATTTCATGCAATGGGCCTCTAGTCTTTATATATAAAAAACCTAAGCAACTGTTTGACTGGTAGCTATGACGCACACTGACCACCAGGGGGCAGACACTCAACACACAGGCATGGAAACATGGAACAGATTGATGAATCTCAGAGGGGTAGGAGGAGGGCAGGAAGAAATTAACCAAAGATCTTATATGCATACTAGAGGCCTGGTGCACGGATTTGTGCACCGGTGGGGTCCCTTGGCCTGGCCTGTGGGGATCAGGCCAAAACTGGCAGTATGACATTCCCCGAGGGGTCCCAGATTGCGAGAGGGTGCAGGCCAGGCCAAGAGACTCCACCGGTGCATGGGCCTCTAGTTTGTGATAATATCCTTTCAGTTCCTTGCTGAGTAAAAGGAACCATTGCTGAATGGTTCTGAGACTGTTTTTGGAATATGCGGAACATTCAAATGTATCAACAATTACTCTCAAATAGTATCATTCCTTTTTATTCCTTTAGTTTTTCAGTGGTATGTCTTAAAACAAAAATATTCTGTCACAATATAATGACCAACTTCTGGAAATTTAACACTCGTAAAGGTCTATTATCTAATACCCACCACACGTCCAGTTTTGTCAATGTCCTAATCCTGTACGTTAGGGTAATTTCCCCCCAATATAGGACCTAGTTAGTGCTGCACTTAGCTGTCATGTTGCTACTGTCTTTTTTAATCTGCAACAGTTCCTCGGCATTTGTCTTTCATGGCCTCCCCGAATAAAACACACACACACACACACACATATCTATAAAAGCCCTATATATCCAACACCCATATTAATTTTTTTTTCTAACTTCCCTAGATAGAGTTAGTTACTCCTGCTTCAGTGGTCCCATAGTACTACTTACATTAGGTACTTATATTGTAACTAGAAGCCTGGTGCACAATACCCACACACTGGGGGGGGGGGGGGGGGGGCTCCTTCAGCCCGGCCTGCACCTTCTTGCAGTCTGAGACCCCTCAGTCCTTACCGCCCACCTGCAGTGGAGGTGGGAGAGGCTCCTGCCACCGCTGCTGTGCTCACCTGCCGCTTCTAGCTGAGCGGTGCTCCCCCTGTAGGAGCACACTGACCACCAGGGGGCAGCTCCCGCATTAAGCATCTGCCCCCTGGTGGTCAGTGCATGTCATAGCAACTGGTCATTCTGTATTCGATCTATTTGCATATTAGGGCTTTATTATATAGGATTCTTTGCTTGATAGTCATCTTCTTCACTAAACCATGACATCCTTAAACATGGGGATATGTTTTGCTCATTTTTTGTAGTATCTGCAAATGGTAGGTACCCAATAAGGTAATTAGAATGAATGACTATTGTATAAATACTTATAATTTTAAATGTTTAGACAAATGACAACCATGAACATTTACTGAGCTCTTATTCTATGCATGTTCTTTTATGCATTAGCTTATTTAATCTTTGTCACAACTCTGTAAGGTAGGTATTATTATTATTATACATGTTACAAATGATGAAACTGAGGCATAGAGCAGTTAAGTAATTCACTCAAGACGAGTAGGAGAGTCTGTATTCAAACCTGGGAACAAAATTCAGGGCCCATTTCTGCCATTACTACACTGCTTCTCTACAATGACACCAGATACAATTATGCAAAGTACTGGTCTATGCCGAAGCCTGGTGACCAGGAGTTGAAAGGGATTCCTTCCATGTTAAAAACAAATTGGATAATAAATAGTTTAAGAAATAAAATGAAGTTAAGTGTGCTTTGGAAAAGAGGTCAAAGAGATTAATGCCCTTGCAATATGTGCTTAAATTAAGTAATACAGTGGAAGTGAACTTTTATTAATTTGTAATATCTTATGAACTTGGCTGAAGAATATATTTCTTGTTTAACTTGACAATCATTATTCTCCTTAGTTATCTATAAGTATATCTTGTCCAAGACTTTGCATTTCATGTAAGTTTTTACTTAACTCTATAAGACTTCACTTAAATACTTAGCATGGTTCTCTTGAATTCTCAAAAAATGTTATATCTACTATAGATATCTGTGTGCCTAAAGCAAGGTAAATTTTAATAAGTTATAATTTTTCTGTAATTCATTGTGGATATATATGTGATCAATTCTTTGTTTTGTA